AACTTGGGATAGGGTTTGCTGGGTTTCGGGGATGGGATTTGTTGGGCATGGGGGTTGCTGGGTTTCAGTCATGGGGTTTGCTAGGGATGGGGTTGCTGGGTTTCGGTGGTAGGATTAGGGATGGATTTCGGTGAATTTTAGGGGGTTGGTGGGTGAGTTTCGGTAGTGGTGGTGGGTGTTTGGTGGTGGTGTTGGGAGGTAAATTTTTTGTATAATACTAAACATATTTTTTATTTTTGTTTTTATAATTTTTTAAATATAAATGACTACCAAACGTGTTTTACATTTTTAATTTTTATCACAAAAGACAAAATTTTGTTATGTTTTTTTCATAAAAATGAAAACGTTACTAAACACACCCTAAGTTATGGAGGCTAGTGTTAATAGATATTTCCATGCATCCAATATTAATTTTGTAGGTATGATTGAAATGATTGCTCATAATAAAATTTAAACCTTAGTCACCCATTCTTGTGTTGTGTGTTTATTAATAATGAGTGATGTTAGTGAAAATTGTTTATGTGATCAACCATTACATAAGACTTCAAACTGACATTAATCATTAAAATTTATTTTTTTATATGATTTCACTGCCAATGCTGGCACCCATAATAATTAGGGGTGCAACTTGGGCGGGTTGGATAATCAACTCTAGCCCAACCCTAGGTATAAAATCTTCAACCCTAACCCTACCTCGGGTTGGAAAACTCAACCCGAGCACTGCCAAAGTATAATTCGGGCGGGCTCGGGTTAATTTCGAATTACTTTACGGGCTTATTTTGGGTTACTTCAATCAAGTTTTTAACATTAAAATCATAATATTAAGAACTCAATGGAGAAATAATGCAACTATAACTAGAATCCTTGCACAACAGTTTAACATAAATAAACATAATCCTTGCACAACGGCGCAAGGGGCTGCCACTGCCCACTGCTGCCAGTGTTATTTAAACAAAACACAAATTGCTGCTACTATAATTTAAACAGAATACAAACTGCTGACACTTTAATTTAAACAGAACATAAACACAAACAATCATTTAACACAAACATAATTAAGGAAAGCTGCCCCTGCCCAATGCCTAATGACACAACAACTGTCATTGCTACCAGTCCACTGCTACCATAGCACAACCACTGCCCACTTCAACCACTGCATAGCCATTATCATCCATGAAGCAAAACAAATGACTCTCCAACACCCGAACTTGCACTATCATCCACGAACACTAGAAAAATAGAGAAGTGCAAGATGTTTTAAAAAGATAAAGAGATCATATAAATAGAATATAACAATATGTTACAAACATACCTTTATCCATCTCTTCCATATCTTCTAGCTTTTCTTCCATTTTAACGGTGGATGAATAGCTCTTTAGCCAATCTTGGGTACAAATCAAACTCTCAACAATCTTTGGAGTTAAAGAATTACGAAATGGATCAAGCACACGACCTCCCGTGCTAAAAGCAGACTCCGAAGCCACAGTTGATATAGGAATTGCAAAAATATCACGTGCCAAGCGAGAAAGAACACGATATGAAGAGGCTTTTTCTTTCCACCATTTCAAAATATCGAAAGTCTGTCTTGATCCACTCCCAAACTCAACGGCATCGTCCAAGTAACGTTCTAACTCCGATTTAAGGACTTTGGTTTGCTCAATTTCTAAGAACTTACCCCAATCCACTACATCATCATCAAGTACAACATTTGGATCCTCTGAAATATCTTTTCCAACATTAATGCCTTCTTGTGACGCATCAACATTCTTTAATGAAGCTAATTCAACCGATGAGTAGTGTTCATACAATTTATCCAACGTAACTTTTACCTTTTCAATGAACTCATCAACCTCATCACAAGTATAAACTTTGGAAAGTTTATATCTCAAAAACGTCAACTTGTAATAAGGATCCAACACTACCGCAATAAGCAACAATGAATTAATTTTGTCATGATCACAATACTTCTTAAATTTTAACATCATTTTTCTTGACATCTCACGAAAGAATACATTGTCACTACTCAAAGATTTATGTAATAATACATGGATCCTCATCATTTCATGAAAATAAATGTTAGCAGTGACATATTGTGACCCAGACACACGCTTTGTAACAAGATAAAATTGTTCCAAAAATTTATGCAAGTTCTTTGCTGCCAACCAATCATCATCAGTAGGAGTCTCATTCTTAAGTTCAAGTGTGAAACTTCTATCTTGCTCTTCCAACCGGTCAAAAGCTTTTTGGTACTCAAGAGCGGTGTCGAGCATATAAAAAGTAGAGTTCCACCGTGTTGGGACATCTAAACACAAAGATTTCTTATATGAAATCTTCTCAATATCCATACATTTCCTAAACAGTTGATAGCGGGAAGGGAAACTCCTAACATATTTCACACCATCACAAATGCGAACAATAGCACTATTAACTTCATCAATTCCATCCTTCATAATTAAATTCAAAACATGCCCAAAACACCTAACATGAAGCAGACTACCATCTAACAACAACCCATTGCGTTTGGCCAACCTCTTTTTCAAAGATGTGGCTGCGACATCATTAGAACTTGCATTATCTACAGTCAATGTATTCACTTTATCAATCCCCCATCCCAATAAACAAGTCTCCACAGATTGTGCAATAATTTCACCACGATGTGGGGTTGGAAGCACACGGAAGTTGATGATTCTCTTTTGTAAAATCCATTCTTTGTCAATGTAATACGCGGCGAGAAAAATATACCCCAGGTTTTGAATGGAAGTCCATAAATCAGTAATGAGACAAACACGTGATGAAGAGGATTCAAAGATAAATGTCAATTTTTTCCTTTCAGTTTCATAAATATTGATGCAATCTTTGGTGATCGTAGTTCTTGACACCAAATTAAACCTTGGTTGCAATGCATTAAGAACCCTTTTAAAACCTTCTTTCTCCACAACACTAAAATGCATTTCATCAGTAATTATCATTCGAGCAATTTCTTTCCGGACAGATTCTTGTTCAAATTTTCAATTACTAATATTACTAGAAGGACCACTAGCAGATGAAAATTTAATCAATTTTTGAGTAGCATCTTTATTCTTTTCACATTTCGAACACTTGAATAAGTGTCGCCGAATTGTACTAGTTCCTTGTGAACTAGCATAATGAAACTTCTTTTTGCAATGGTTGCATTGCACTTCATCAGGTTTTGACCTATCTTCTTTTTTAATTTTTGTGAAATCAAGCCAAACATCAGATTTTTTAACATAAGTTTTTCGGCGTTTGGTGGGACTTACAGAGTTCCCCTCATCAGGGTTACCAGTAGCAGGCTCAGATGCAGGATTAGCCATAGATTCAGTATTTGTTTCCGTCTCCCCCATTAGTGACATGTACCTTTTCAATATCTGAACTAGCATAATGAAACATAAAAATGATCAATTAGCAAAATGATCAAATGGAAAAATGAACTAGCAAAATGATAAAACGGAAAAATGAACATTGATTAGCTCTGAATAAAATCTGAAAAAATTGCATCTGAGACTGAGAGTGTTTTCTATTATCGAGCAAAATATCGAGCATGATTAGTTTTATTAACTCTGAACAAAATATCGAGAGTGAAAAGAAGTCTAAATATCGACCATACCTAATCTGATCTGAGATGACGGTAGACAATAGATCTGCTCTGAGATGAGATCTCTTTTCAAGTATAGATTTGATTTTTTTCGATTGAGATGAAGGGAGAGTCGATTGAGCTGAGAATGTCTGAGAGAGAGAGAGGAGACTGGCTGAGACTAGCTGAGAAAGGGATCTGAGAGTGGGACTGAGGGAGGTGAAAAACTGGCTGAGAAAGGATCTGAGAGTGGGACTGAGATCGAGTGAGACTGAGGGAGGCGGACTGAGATAAAGTGACTGAGATCGAGTGAGACTAAGGGAGGCGGACTGAGATCGAGTGAAGCTGAAGGAGGTAGACTAAGATCGAGTGAGGGAGGCAGACTGAGATCGATCGAGTGAGGGAGGCGGACTGAGATCGATCAAGTGAGGGAGGTTGAACAGAATCACAAATTAACCCTAAAATTGGAAAATATATTTATAGGGTTTTTAATATTCGGGTTAAACCCGATTATTAACTCGGGTTGAACCCGATTTTAATATTCGGGTTCAACCCGGTAACCCGATGGGTCAACCCGATGCCCGCCCAAATTGAATTTGGGTTAACATTTTTCAACTCAAGCCCAACCCAAGTTTTAAAAACTCTATCCCAAGCCCGTCTTTTTTCGGGTTGGGCTCAGGTTGAATTCGGGTTACCCAACCCAAGTTACACCCCTAATAATAATGTTACTAGTGCAAATCAATTAGTTTATAGGGAATAAAAAAGTGGAAAATCACACTTAAACCCCCCCCCCCCAAAAAAAAAAATATATCACTCATTTTACATTATATCTAAACTATAATATTCTTCATATTGCATCTTTATTTATGATTGATAGGTTCATGACCCCAAGGATGAGCTTAGTGGAGATAAAGATGAGACGTAAATTCAAGTGTCTTGAGTTTAAAATTTGACAATTTCTTTAGTGTCAGACTTAAATCCCTCAAAATTCTTCAGTCCCAGTATGGATGATTACTTTTGATCGGACTGGATAGAGCATTAATCGGCATAAGTTATCCCGAACATCTCTGACTCTGATTATAATACCAAAAAAAAAAATTCACACTAATTCAATATCAGTTATAATTTAGTAAAAATTATTCCGATATGTAAATATTTTTTGTTTAAAGGATGACACACAAATTTATTTGGGGCAATGTAAAAGTAATTTAAATAATTAAGGAAAAAATTAATAATTTAAAGATTTTATCCTAGAAAATTGAGTAAAATTGTTTGCTTTTTTTTTTTTTAAAAAAATAATCCAATCATTAATGTTGGCAAGGTGGCCTAAGGTCACGTGACATGAACCACGTAGTCCCACGCGTGATCACACAATCTGCTGAAATACCAAAACGGCCCACACACTGTTCAGTCATTGATACTCTCTCTACCTCTCTCTCTTTCTCCGTCGGTTGGATCAAAACGTGAGGACGAATCCATATGGAGTCAGAAAATTACTGTTCAGCACACCACCTCGACTTCTTCAACCCAACAGTAGGCTTTAGAGATTAACACCTGAAAAACTAGCTGTCAAAAAACCCTAGATCTTCATTGTTCTGGGATTTGTTCATCGTTGAATTGTCTATTCAAAAAGTTAGGGCTTGAATTAGGAGCTGAGGAGTGTGTTGATGGAGCCTCGAATTGGGAATAAGTTTCGGTTGGGTCGAAAGATTGGCAGTGGATCGTTTGGGGAGATCTATCTTGGTTTGTTCTTTATTTTGTTGCCTTCATTTTCTGCTTTCCGTGATGTATTTTATTGGTTGAGTGTGAATTGATTGATTGGGGCTTGTTTTGCAGGGACTAATATACAGACAAATGAGGATGTTGCAATTAAGCTTGTGAGTGTTCTATTGTTGTTAAATTTCGGAATTACTTGGTCTATTCTTTTTCTCGAAATTATTTTGATTGGTTGGTGGCTTAAGGATTGACTTCTTAGGAGTTGCCAATTATTTTGATTGTGGATCGTTTTGAGTAAAGCTTTGATTTTTCAGGTTGCCAATCAGTTACTTGGTGTGATGTTGTTGGAGTAGAAGTAGATTTTTTTGTCATTTCAGCTCAAGATAGAGCAGTGAGCTTCCTTAGTTGATGCCAATATTAGTTGCTGTGATGCAGCGGAAAATGAGAACTCCATTATTGTGCTTTTGTTTGCATAGTTTACGGCATAATGGAAAATATGCCCTTCATTGAGCACAATTGAGTAAGAGTATTCATGTAGCCGATCCCAAATAGTTGGGATCAAAGTTGTTAGTATCGTACGATACGCGATACGTATCGTACGATACGTTACGATACAGCCCTAAAACGATACGGATCGTAGTTATGTATCGTTTTTGCGTTGTATCGTCCGATACACGATACGTTTTTTACGATACGTATCGGTACGATACGCACGATACGTGCAATTTTTTTTTTTTTTTTTTTTTTTTTTTTTTTTAAAAACGACGTCGTTTTGTGCTCTGATTTTTTTTTTAAAAAAACGACAAGTGAAGACTTGTTGGCATCCGATCACAATGATGATGATGATGATGATGATGCATTTTCAATTGAAATTGAAGATTGAGTTCAAAATGGATGTTAGAAATTTGGATTAGAAGTCTCTTTGGTGTTTAAAGTTTGAATTAGTGAACTATGGTTGTGAACTTTGCATTATAATAGTAGTGGATTATGTTGATAACTTGAATAGTTGGTGGAGTATTAATGAAATGCTATATTTTTTATGAGTGTATGACTTTTTTTCAAAGGTATATATATTTTTTTATTATTTATTTAAAATTGCATCGTATCTTACGATACACGATACGATACACGATACGATACAATATTTGTATCTTACGATACGCCTTCCGATACACGATTTGGTAACTATGGTTGGGATAAAAGCTTTGTTGAGTGTATGTGCTAAAAAGTAGCCTCACTTAAATACATTTCACTGCAATAGAATTTGGCAGAGAGTTGATAATTTTTGCGTTTAAATAATCATGTTTCTCATTTATCACTTTGTTTTTCCTTCCTTTATAATAAGTATTTCATTAATCACCTTATTAATGCCTAGAAATACCCAACACATTATGATGATGTGAGCTATACAATGTTGCTCATGCATGTCATTTTTAAGAACATGCGTTGTATCATCTTTCTATTCCAATGCTAGTGTATGTGATGCACTTCATTAGCACTACTAATGCACTGAATTTTAAGTTGGGCCACCAAAAGGAGATGACCTTTGGATTAGCTAGTGGTATGCTAGGAATTTGATCTTAGAAGGTTGTGACTTAATTTTGAACTAAAAGATATGCAAATGGATTCGTATTACTCCCACTTGCCAAACACTAGTGGTGCCCTTAAATTGTGAAACCCTTATTGGTTGTTTTGATATGAATGCATTTGATAGTTGGGATAAGTTCAATGTTGATAAGTGATGTGGAGATTGCTGTGAAATTGGTTGTGATTTATTGGAAGTAATCAATTCATTATGGGGTTGTGACGCTGATACTGTTTCTAATATCCTAGGAAAATGTCAAGACAAAGCATCCTCAGCTGATGTACGAGTCTAAATTATACAGAATTCTACAGGGAGGAAGTAATGAGTTATTCTTCTTCGTTTCACTGTTAGTATTATGTATTGCTTGATATCTGTATTAGAGTTGTAATTGCATTCCTTCTAACCATTGCAGCTGGAATTCCTAATGTGAGATGGTTTGGTGTGGAAGGGGACTATAATGTTTTAGTGATGGATTTGCTTGGACCTAGCCTTGAGGATCTATTCAATTTTTGCAGTCGGAAACTTTCTTTGAAGACAGTGCTTATGCTTGCAGATCAAATGGTAAGTTCTTTGACTCGATATGCATAATTGTTTTAGTTATCAACTTTCATAAATTTGTGTATGTATGAGAATCCTAATGCTCATTTCAGATCAATCGCGTTGAATTTGTCCATTCTAAATCATTTTTGCATCGAGATATCAAGCCGGACAATTTTCTTATGGGCTTGGGACGACGTGCAAATCAGGTTTCTATTAGAGTTTACATCTTTGTTTTCTATTTGAAGAATTTGTTGGTAGGTGTCGATGTTAATCAGGTATCGTTCTTTTTATTGTAATTCAGGTCTACATAATTGATTTTGGTCTGGCTAAGAAATATAGGGACTCCTCAACACACCAACACATTCCTTATAGGTGAGATAACTGTTAATTATGCTATGTTTGGTAGACACCTTTGTGTTAGATGCTTCCATGTCTACATGACTCTCTGTTGGAGGTGGATCATTTTTCTGTTACACGAGCAATCAGACCTTTTCAGAAGATATTATTTGGGGCATTTTTTGGGTGTGCATTTATACTTCTGAGCCTTAGAAGATCATATGATTCGGTTTGCTGATCTGACTTTATACGGTTTTCTTCTCATGGTTTTGTTTGTTTCCAACCATTAACTGGTTGCGAGCATGTCACTTGGCATCAGTGGAGAAAGCTCAGACTTTGTTTTATTTTGCTTGAGATAAAAACATGTAGGATATGTAAATGTTTCTGTTGGTGATAAACAAGGCTGTGTGGATGCTGCATCTAAACTAACTTTGCACATTTTTTTCGTGTCAACCGTGTATATTGGTTCTGTCATTCTTTGAATTCACCCTTTTAATAAGTTTCTGCTGTTATGTCTAATCTGACTGAAATACAAGAGCAAAATGTTTCTTTGAATTTGCATGTTTGGTAAACAATGATGCCATGTGCTCAACACTCATTACATCAGCATACAATTCCCCTGTTCATTCTTAGCGCATCTCCTATGTGCTTTGGTGTCTTTGTGAATTTATGTTGCCTATGATCTCATTTCTGAATAATTATATATATACATAAAATTCTTTCATGATAAAAAAGCACTATTGTGCATTTGATATTTGGTGGAACCCTGCAGAGAGAATAAGAACCTGACTGGAACAGCGAGATATGCAAGCATGAACACACACCTTGGCATCGGTTTGTGTTCCTTTTGTTTGCATCTTCGTTTTCCTGAATTCTACGCTCTTTTGAATTGAATGAGCTATTTTGTAGTTAAAATATTAACTTTTTTCTTTCTAATTGTTTGTGGCCTGTATAGAACAAAGCAGGAGGGATGATTTGGAATCTCTTGGATACGTCCTTATGTACTTTCTACGAGGAAGGTGATTGTTGTTGCATACCCGAGTTTTCTTTGGCTCTTTGTCTTTACTGTTGATCATATAGGGACAACTATTTTCTGTGCAGTCTTCCTTGGCAGGGACTGAAAGCAGGAACAAAGAAGCAGAAGTATGAGAAAATTAGTGAAAGAAAAGTTTCAACATCTATTGAGGTAGCTTGTTAACACAGGTGTTGGATGTCTACTCTTTCCACTTAGCTTAATCGAAATATTACTGGTGAATTTATACTTTATTAGGCCTTGTGCCGGGGTTATCCTTCCGAGGTTGCTTCATACTTTCATTACTGCCGTTCACTACGATTTGAGGATAAGCCAGATTATGCTTATCTAAAGAGAATATTCCGTGACCTCTTTATCCGTGAAGGTTTGGATATATTTTCTGAGAATATTCATAACTTCATAGATATAATATAAATACGCTGGCTTGTTTGTAGCTTTTAGAAAAAAGGTTCACACTGATGTTTCATATTTAATTTCCATTCCAGGCTTCCAGTTTGATTATGTTTTTGACTGGACCATTTTGAAGTATCAACAATCGCAGTTTGCTGCTCCTTCTCGGGTTCTTGTTAGTTATATAACTTGATTTTTCTTGTGTTGATCATTGCAGTATATGCACTTATATATGATATTTTTTTCTGGTAGGGCCCAAGTGCTGGAACAAACTCTGGAATGCCCCCTGCTATTCCCAATGCTGACCTGCAGTCAGGTGGTTCCCCTAGATTGCTCCTTGGATTTAATTTTTGGACATCTAATGGATTTATCCTTAATTGTGGCATTCTTATGTGGCCTTCTCGGTGGTCCTTTGACATTTGCTTGGGTTCACATTTGCTATGCCATCAACCTAATTGCAGGTGCGGAAGAAGGGAGACCAGCTGGTTTGTCTTCAGCTGATCCTTCTCGTCGGAGAAGTTCTGGACAAGCTATAACCGCGGGAAGTTTATCTAAGCAGAAGAGTCCAGTTGCAAATGATTCGACAATGAGCAAAGAAGCTATGGTAGGTGTATGAATTATACAATATAAGCTGTAAGTTTACGGGCAGTTCCGTAATTTAGTTCTGTTGTGATGGTTTCTTGAATTCTGCATTCAAGATGCCTTTTCCTATTCTGAATGAAGTAGCGGGGTGCAGATTTTCCCAACTGTATACAGCATTTAGAGGTGGTGCTTTAATCTTCATTTTGGAGAATCCCAACACATTTGATGGGTTATGTTATGTCTTGCAATTGTCGTGTGTCAATTTTTCTTGATTGGCTTTGCTTGTGAAAATCTGCATTTATGCTAATCCATGTGATTGTTGTGAGTGCTCATTTTTGTTCTCATTTGTCTTGTTTTTCTTTGCTACCATCACCTAGATTAAGGCGGCTTCTGACATTTTGTTGCAGTGGCTGTTCTGTCATCTTTTCAGCTATAAATTTGTGGTGCTCTTTAGGAATAAAAACCAACCAAACGATGGTGTTTTGTATCTTAATTTTACTCTATCTATTTCTCTTCTTTTTTCTTGTTTTTCTCTTTTGATTTGAAGAAGGGGGAAAGGTAATTCTCCTCCCCTATCCAGTTTCCATGAAATTCAGAAATCAAAAAAAACACCAAACAGGGAAAGGGAGTAGTATTCATATTGATACTTTGATGTGTAATGCTGGTAATGCCTCCATGTATAGTCTCTAATATTGTTACTTTGATCTAATGCCCTATTCTTGGATCCTGTAGTTATCGAGCTCCACTTTTTTGGGACGATCAAGTGGATCATTGAGACGAGGTGCCGTCTCTGGTAGTCGAGATGCATTCACTGTGGGCAATGAGTCTGACCCTTCTCGCTCTCGTACTGCCGAAGCAAGTCCGGGAACAGTAAACAAGATCTCAAGTGGGCAGAGAACTTCACCGTTTGGGGGTTCCTCAGACCCCAAGCATCCTTCATCTGGTAAGAATACCTCTGGCATAAAGAACTATGAAGCCGCTCTCAAGGGCATTGATAGTCTGCATTTTGACGACGAAGAGAGGATTCACTATTGATTGTTGTAAATCACAAGGAACTATTGATTCTCTCTTCACACTCTTGTAAATTAAATCATTGACCTGTGTGCTAGACATCTGGTAGAATTTGTCCGGCTGTTGGCTAATGGTGCGTTGGAACCAAGGAATTCTGTGTTTGTATTTGCGTTTTCGATCAACAAAATCAACAAGAAGGGAAGAACTGCAACGAGCGGCAGGATTTAGCACATCACCATGAAGGTGAGGCATTTGTCTGTGTATTGACCGAGTGAGTCTTGTTGGCGTGGCGTTTTTATTCTCTTTACCCTTTGACCCCGGCATTTACAATCTTTGTTTCCTTGGTGTTGGAAATTACTGGTTTATATAACTGTCGAACTGTAAATTGGCCCGAGTTCTATCCATAGTAGTTCTTTTTCGATTTTTGACATTCTTTTGCAGACGATAGATTTCAAGTATTCGACATGGAGAGTGGGGGTTCATGGCATCACTTAGAAGTTGCATTGTAGTTGTGACATAACTTTTTGTAATGGTTTCTCTGCATGTGAGTAAGACTGTGTAGATTATTCTTGTTTGATCTTGCGTTATTGGTGTCTCTGTCCCGTGACTTAGCTTGTTGACCCGAAAGCCTATTGGTCCATGGATCACGAGTCATCTGTGGCCCACTTGGGGCCTACAAATTTAAGCGGTTCAACTAATTCATTGCTCCCATCCAACAGTGACTTGACTATTTGCCCCACCTCAGGTATTGCTAGAATCACTTTTGCTACCAAAAGATCAACGATAAGGTTAGGTAGCGACTTTGGTATTGGGCCTCTGTCCATCTCATTTACTGATTTTGTTTTGAATTGAATGGTTTATAACTATTGATAAAAAAAATAATAAATATAAAAAAATTGCATGCAAGAGTTACCAAATCGAAAAAGTAGTTTTTTGCAGTACAAGTAGTCTGATTTTTCATTTCTCCTCCATCAAAAAAATTGAAACTCTGTAGTAATCTCTGTTTGTTTGTGTCTTCAAAATATACTCTCTTAATTACTTGAGTTTTATCTGCTTTGTATATTTCTAATGATTTTACTTATATGCTAAAACCCAAGAGATATGTGATGAAGAAAATAGTTTAACAACCGGATTTGTTATTATTGATTGGAGGAAGACTTCTGCACAAGGCTTTCAACATAGATCTTAATGGTTGCATACTGATGAAAAGCCCCAGTAACAGTATTCCTCCTTACCAACTAGAAGTTCTTGTTAGATTATTACCCATTCATTCTTCACAATTAATTTTTAAAGTTAAATTTAATTGTTTATTTTAAATCAATCAAAGATATTCTTTATCCCAATCGCAGCTTCAGTACTCTAATGATTGATATTATAATTTTTTAGAGGCAAATATTTATTTTAAACAATAAAAACCCGATTACAACCCGTTTAAGGCACATCAGCTACAATATTAGGCCTATGACACGACACAGTTAATCGACACAAATCAACACGGAGTTAAGCAAATTTGGGTGAGACCTTATCATGTTCGAATGGTAAACAAGTGAATCCATTAAACCCATTTAATAAATGGATTATATTGGGTGAGATTGTCAACTCATTTATCAACAGTTTAGCCGTTTAAATAAAATTAATAATTATTGAAAAAAAAAATTAGCCAGAATAATATGTGGCAAGTAAATAGGGGTTAAAAGGTTATCGTGTTAATCTAACCTTACCCAACCTGAGTCGTTCATTAAACGGGTTAAAACGAATCTTGTTGTGTAATCTACTTAATAAAAAAATCGCATTCAATTTGAAGATTTTCACCAACTTACTTAAACGAGTGATGTATGGGTTTACTAGTTTTCCACACAAACCCGATTAGACTCGACTTGTAACCATTTAACCGATATGGTTGACACCCTTCCACAATGTGAGCAGTACGGGTCTGGAAAGCCCGACTCGTTGATTATTGCCTAGAAAAAATCATATTAATCTGGTATCAAAATACCACAAATCTTCCATAGAAATGAAGGCCACCTAAAAGACTAACGCTTCATGGACTATCATCTTCAAGTGCAAATCCTGCACACAGGATTGGGGGCCCAACGACATAAGAAAATATCTGAGCATAGGAAGTGAAAGAACAGTATAAAGATAGACATAGCATGGAAAACACACTCAAAATGATCTATCTCATCCAAATCAGAGCATATCTCACTAGCTGAAAAGTTGAAGAGCATAGCACCCACTTCAAGCTCATCAACAGACTCCAAGAATGACCAACACGCGTAATAAACAGCCAGGTCTATTATGACAGTTATGTGAGGGCAACAGTTTGCATCACGGAGAGGATTGATGATTAACATGACCTATTTCAACATGATCTCCAAACTGTCTACAACGCCAACTGTATATGTTGCACGAGGCAAGAATATCAATAAGAGTGTCTCATGGATGAGATTGAAGAACTGCATATGCTACAAAAAGAATAGTTTGATACCGGTAGCACAACAACATAACTTTAAGTTCATCTGTGAATCCAAAAAATAAATGTGTATATATACATTTATCTTATGTACCACCAGAAGCAGCAAGAAATAAAATGACTCAAAAACAAATTTTCCCACATTTGGTGGATGGGAAAGCATCTAAAAAGCTGAGAGTAGCTTCAACTTATAACAAGTAATTTGGATGAAATCAACCGTTGAAAGTAAGCCTTCCTTTGAAGCCTTACCCTATAGAAAAAGCAGCAATTCACAGTAGTTTCCAAAGTCCATTTTGGTTAATGAAATATTCGATCACAAAATTGACAGAGTTCAAAGCTTTTAATATCTTCCTACAAGTCAAGATTCAGAGAAGTAACTTGAACCCATTTTGCAACCAAAAAACCACAATATTCCAATATTTTGAAGCATCAAATGGAATAGTAACACCATTACTGGAACCTGAGTTTTACAACGGGCAGAGTTCGGTAGTTGTATGGGTTGAACTATAAAGAGAATACGAGCAAAACTCTAATATGCAGCTATTTTGATAGGATTCCGATAGGATCTTATTGACAAGGGACATTTTGTGTGCGAGTTGAGACAAACTGAACAGGTAGGATTGAGGTTCGCAAGAAGGGGACAATCAGGATTGGGAGAACAAAACCATAACTAAAAGAATTCCTAACAACGCCAAGCTTCATACAATTACTGAGGAGTGACATGATGGTTGATGAGGAGAGGAGAGAGGGGCTGAAGCAAACATTCTGATCTCATGGAAGCACAGAAAAAGGACTGCTTTTGAAATCTTATGTAGATGCCTATTAAGAGCAACTCCAACGGGAGTGTTATCTGGGGTGACAAATCATTAACCGCTAAAATATCACTCCAAAATCAAAAAAATTCACTATAAAGGGGGTGGCATCTGGGGTGGCAAAATGGCAACTTTGGGCTTGGGGTGGCAAATTTGCAAACTTTGGAGAAAGAATGTGAGAGGTTGCAAAAGAGCGGTTGAGTCTACTGTTCATCTCAACGGCTAAGTTCAACCCAAAACTCCTATAAAAATACAGAGAAAGGGAAAGGGGAAGGAGGTGTCTGCTTGCCTGAAAATCGTCTTGCCTCACTGATATATGTTGTCTCTTTGCCTCGTTGTTGTCTCCTCAAGTCACTGGTATATGCTTTAATTTTAGGTGATTTGGTTTAGGATTTAGGGGAAGGGGTAGGGATTGAATCACTGGGGAACAGACTGAAATGGAAGGGGAAGGGGAATGAAGGGTTTGTATTTTCATATTACACTATTAATTATTTTGTATTGTCAATTACACCATTAATTTTTTTGTATTGTAATATTACACCATTAATTTTTTTATATTGTCATATTACACCATTTAATTATTTTAAATTTTAAATTTTAAATTTTTACTATAAAAATATATCCGTTAAATTGCGATCGTTATGAAAACTATACCCATTAAAATATAACCATTAAATTTAATTATATTTTTTAATAAAAAATATTGAAATATTAAAATGACATCCCATTTTGGCACCTACCATTGGAGCAGAAACACTGAATAAACAGTGTTCAAGATTGCAAAATGACAATTGGCGCCCCATTTTTGACAACTCCAAGGGGAGTTGCTCTAAGAATTCTAATGATCCAGGAATTAATGGATGTCAAAGGCAGATTCAAATCTCTTTATAACACTGAAGTACAGGTGACTTTAACGTCGGAACACTTAACATGAAAAGGATTCACTACCCAAACATACTAATGATAGGGGAGTTTGTCACACTATAGACCAAGTTTCAAACCAAATTACACAATGAAAGCCATCTATTCAAGTAAATCTTCAAATACTACATATTTTTAAGCAAATCAAATGCAAAAATCCCAAAACCAAAAAACAAAAGCTTAGGTAGAATCAAAATAAATATCTCTGATTAAATTCAGAGCAAAGCAATTCATCAACAGTCAATAATTTATACGACCAATTTACGGAACCCAGATTAATCCGAATATTAATGTCAATTTAAGATGAATATACAGTACATAACATACACAACCAAGAACAAGACAAGAAGGTTAACAACAAGAACAAGGTGGCAATGATAAAAAAAATACCAAACCACAATCACCTCCAACCATAGACCACCTGGGTGTACCTCTCCTTGAGCCACCTAAAGCTCTTCCTTATAGACCCCTTGACCTTCCCTTCAACAGTGTAGACCTTATAGCCAGCAACCCTTTTCTTCCTCTGCAACTCTGGATCATTGAAGCTCCAACTCTTCGAAGTTGACCCATTTGCAGGCTTGCCCTTCTTGAACTTCACCTCTTTAATCATGTCCATCTTGGTAGTGCTTGGTTGTGCATAAGATGATGCATATGAAGCACTGTAACTCCTATGATTTTGTAACCTGGTAGGGTTTGAGTTGGGTCCATTGTAGTTATAGCTCTCCATTTGCATCCTTCCATCACCATAAGACTTAGATCTGAAATCCTCCATTTGAAAACACTGCAAGATCTTCTTTTTCTCTGTTTAGAAATTATCCATCCTTTTTCCTATTCAGAAAGGTGCTCAGAATTAGGTTTGAGCTTCGATGGTTTCTGGGTGGAGCCGCTTTCATGTGGTTCTTTGTATTGTTTTGACCACAATGGTTTTTTGGTTGGGTTGGTACTCGGTGGTAATGAATAATACTTGCTAGGTGGGTGAGGATTGTGTGTAAACATGAGGACCAAAATTTCAGAGCAACTGAATATAGATATTTGCCAAAGGAGGGGAAGCCATCATACCCAACTTTATAATTTTTCTGGTTTAAAATATATTTTTTTAGGATTAAGTTGGAACAAAAAAAAATTAAGATTATTTTTAATATTTTAGTATCCGTTCTAAAGATATATACTTTTGTGAGCTAATTTATATATTTGAGAGTAAGTTACGATCGTTTAATTTATTTGACTTAAGTTAAGAAAATAATGTTGACTGTTTTTGATGTACTTTTATATATAGAGCAATGCTACATGATTTAAAAAATAGATTTAAAAATTAGACTTGATAATCTTAACCATTGATTTTACTGTGGGTCCCATCATTTATTAAGATCCACTATCTATTCAATGGTTGAGATTATCGAATCTAATTTTTAAATTCATCTAACATTACTCTTTATATATATTACCCTTTGATTTTTGATGAATTTTAGTGAACCCAAAGAATATTTTTGGTAGATCCGGTGAAGATATTTTTAATTTAGTGAAGCCAAGATCAACCTAGTGAGAGTTAGGTTGATCTTGATGGATCCGATAAAGATATCTTTAATTTGATGATGACTTTGATAGATTGTCTCACTATTTTTTGTATTGACCAATTTTAAAATGATTTGAATCTCCAAAAGAATAACCTTAACAATGTACCCTTCCCTTTAAGATAGATTGCAAGACTTTAACTAGAAGTGGAATCGGACAGAACTTCGTTGATCTTCTCCGAGTGAGGCACAACTTCATTGATCTTTCCTTCTACTCTCTTCTTCTGTTTTTTTCTCCCCGGGCCTCCTATTCATAAAGTTGAGAATGATTATCATATTAGGATAATTTTCTTAAATACCCTTATTTGGGTTTTATGGTGTGGGCAATCCTTGTTTATAAAAAGTTATGAATTTTATGGATCAAACTCATATTATTTGGATTTATAAAATTTATGTCCATTCCAATTTAATTTAGTGACTTATTTTATTAATTTTTTGCCCAATAAATATTATTTTATTTGCTAATTTTTTAAAGTCTACACCATTAAACTCTTCAAATAATAAGTCAACACAAATTTGGTCAAATATGATACACAAACCCAATATATAGCTTACTCGACACATTGCTAGCCCAACGAAAACCTTTCACGTCTTTTTCTTTGAGAACGATATTTCCAAATAGAGTGGGTGTAAAGGAAGTTGTGATTTTAAGCACTATGAAACAGAGTCTCTCTCACTGCACTAGTAGCAGCAGGTAGACCGACTCTCCTTCCCTTCAAGATCAATAGCAGAAAATCCATGACTCTGTATCAAAACAGTGAATTGAGACAAACTGTTCCTAGAAGGAAGGGATGGTAATAATGGAAAAAAACAATAGGAACTACTACACGAGTGAGATTGTAGATAGTATTTTTCAAGAAATATTTCCACAGCTAATAATGATTTAAAGCACTACTTCCATAATAAATCGTTATGGTGACAAAGTAAATCTCAAAGAATCTAATAATTATTACATTTAACGTAAAGTAATAACGTACATGTGCGTATGCCGATAACCACCACACTTACTTATGAACTGGCCTAATTCCTGGCTAAATTTAAAACCCCTAAAAAGGTTTGAACCCAACTATACATAGGTCAGGTAAAACTTAAACAAATTGTAAGAAATGACACGATAGTAATCCAGTTTGACACGACCATTGTCATATCTGCTTTTAAGACAGCGTCGCGTGATTGGTCAACAGATGAACCAGAAGGTAAATGACAGTATAGGACGAGAATACTTACAAACCAGAGGAACCTCCTCCCACATGAACAAATAACCAACACATAAACCCAAGAGAACCATCAACAACGCACAGCAGCAAGCCCAAACTGTCATACCACCAAATTACCCAACTGTTCTGTTAAAAGGCTTGAAATTTTGTCATTACCGAACTTTGAGAAGATTAATTTACAATTTTCTCAACAATAAACTAACAAATAAAGTAGTATATATATTCGCGCAGAGTCTACACTACGAAACAACTGTTTTCTTCCTGCTCTAAATTGACAAGGATTCAGCTCGTGAGGAGAATGTATGCTGGCCATGGTGGACACGTATACATGTATTTCAGAGGCAATACAACCCACAGCAGCGCATTGATAGATGACAGATGAAGTTCCTCTGAACGAGATAAGAGCCAACTTCTATGGGCAAGTTGAATTCCAGAGCTAGTCACTCAATGATACTTACCCAACAGAAAGTTTATCTGGCGTTCACTTTTCTATTCATCAAGTCATGGTAATAAAGTAGCAAGCACATAGGTTGACCAAGAATGCTGAAAAAGCACCAGAACATCATATTGCCCACCTGTCAACAAAAATTATCACGTTTAGGCCGCATTCTCATGCTGCACGGTAGCTCAAGTGCTCATGAAGTGGTGGATGGAAATGAAAGATGAAGGTGGTTATTCAGCGGAAACAATTGCATGGTTCAACCATAAGTTAATGTAGAACACAGGAGCAATGGAAAGGGGAGGATCCTAAAACTAGAGTTCAATAATAGTTTAATAAACTATTCTCTTCATTGCTAGGTTTTAACAAGATGTCTTCCTTACATGTTGTAACATAATCCAAAAGGTCAACCTTCAGAGCTTTCCAGTTCATTCAAACCAGTGTGAAGGTCATTCCTAGTCACAATATGGCATAATAGATTCATCCAGTTAGTGTGGTTTGGATCTGATTATTATACAGCATTGAGCTTTGAAAAAGTCGTTCATGGGAACAGCAGACAGTGGTTTGAATTCTTATGCCGCGTCGTATCCAACAGGTAGCTAACTCATTACTAATAGCTCAGACAATTCTTATTAGAAGTTGCGCCTGATGATTCCTCATATGAGAGTTTCACTTGTATTCATCAAGTCCTAGAAATTGCATGCTGACAAAATGAAAAGGCTAATGCAAAGTTTAATGGAAGTGCATGAAAGAGAGACTTACCATAGAGTTTCCGAACTTATCTTGTAGGTAATTTGTGACCATGACCAATGGGACCTGATTCAAAAACAGTAGAGCTCATAAACCTTTAGTCATGCATTGATTCTTGCAAAAAACTAACACAACCCCAACTACCGAAAATTTATCTACCTTTCCATTCAGCTTATAGAGAAAATGATGGCCAACAATGCCTTTAAAATAACAATAGACTAAATTTGACATACACATTCTGTAGAGCATTACCTGAAACATAATTCCAATAAATGCCCAAAACTTGAATATGTGGCAGGGGACAGCAATGCATAACTGTAGAATTGAGAAATCAGATGTCAATTTTCAAGGAATTAGGTCAATTACTTTCCCATTAGAAGTCTGATTGTTGCGTAAATATGTGCTTTCCCTGGATATAAAAGGGAGAAACTAGAGCCATATACCTCATGGAAAATGGCAGATACAATGAATGCAATCAGAACGGCAACTCCCTGTATCAATAGATAACTGAAAAATTAAGCCACAATGTTACAGTAAACTTCAAACATGGTACCAGTATGAAGCCCAAACCATGAGTATCTTTACATTACTTGATCAAAAAAGTTTTTGCCCCCACATGTCAACCTTCTGTAAATTAAAGATAAATAAATAGTGACACACACAGCTTTTTTTTCTTATTGTCCTTTATGTCATGAGATGATACAATGAAATACCATAACTAGCTCAAGCAAATCACAAAATCATAAGCTCAGTAAAAATATCGGAGCACTGGCTACTGGCTAGTCCCTCAAACTTCAATGGTTCATCTGTATGCCAAAATTTTTATTTTTGTAAGAAGGAATCAGAAAGTACTCACAAAAGAACTTGGCACAAATCCATTAAGTCTGCATCATTTCATAAAGACAACTTTCACTTATCATTTTAGGAGGTGTTTTAGATTGATGGATCAGGAAGAAGGGAATTTGGGGTTCAACTTAGCAATATACAAGAACTAGCCAGAAGAGTTTTTTTCCAGTGAAAGATGAACACGAGGTATGAGGGTTACATCCAATAAGCACCTTGAATCTTTCATGTAAGTCATCTAATTTTAAATCCACCAGTATGCTCTCAAATCCATCTGTTTATATTACCAATATCAAAAATCAAACTATACATTCCTTTAGATTATCATAAAAATCCTTCAAATCCATCTATGCATCGCAAATTTTTCTTAAAATGAAATCCATCCCCATGAATGAAAAAAATTCACCACACATTGCTGAAAGGTTTAAGAGTTAGATCAATTACCTTAGGTATCCCATTCCGCAAGCATGGAAAATAAATATGGCGGACCATCCATTTATGAACAGGCTGCAACCAAACAAAATTTCAATCAGTATTTTGTATTTAATAGCAGGACATTTTTCTTTTACATTTTACAGACAAGCTTCCAAAATTTCAGTGCAATGCAAATAGGCATACATGAAAACCTAAAAATTAATAGCTTTTAACCCTTTTTTTTTTTTAAACATTCTGGACCAAACACAGTTGTTGGAACTTCTATTGACCAATCACCAAATTATAGCTGTCACTATTTGAGAACTTGGCCTTGACACATGCAGCTTACATTTCGGGTACAACTACGTCCTAAGGGCTTTGGCTACTAAAGATTAAGTCCACAACACTTCAAATATACCAAAAAAAAAATCCTCATCTGCTTGTGCATTCTCCCACACCAGAAGGGGTGGGAAATGATCATTGATCATTTTTCAATAACAAATTCCCAATACGGCCATAGCCAAAAATTCATAACACACATAACAGCCAACAGGGTCAAACATCACAAAATCAGAACAGAGGATGCAGAGTTCGACATAATAAAGCAAAATCAGAATCCTTTCAAGGTGACAAATCAAAATGTGACCAAAATACATCATTCATCACAAGACATTTTTTTCGAAAAGAAATAGCATTTTATTAGTTTAAAAATCATTACAAAAATCATATCAAAGGTGGACAAGCCGTCCAACCCAATGATAGGTCAAACCAAAATATATGCGAGACACCTGTGGATTAAATAGTCATACTACAATCCACATGATGCTTTCCAACTCGCAGTTATCACAAGACTAGTACGCATAAAACAAGATAAAACTCACAAAGAAAGAAAAAAACAGAAATTTGAGTTCAGGGACACACCATATTCCACATTCGCCAATACTGATACCAGCAGCCAAAGCAGCACATGCATTGAAAAACCCACAAGTTCAGATTAGTAATGGAGGGCCAAACAACAACTTAAAAATGGCAACAACTCAAAGCATATAATTACACCTCCTCAACTGTTTTTGCATTCCACCAATCTTTATAGAACTCACGATCGCCAAAGCAAAGAAGCTCGGCAAGTATATTTAACCTATATCACAGCACTGCATGTAAGTAACATCAGAGTGATGCAATGGAACAAATAAGCACTATAACCGAAAATGCGTATATGTTTTCACAGAAGCCACAACGGGAAAGGAAAATTTGCAATTTATGCCTAATAAGTCCACATAGCAACTCAAGTCTACAAAACCTCTCAAAGCCTTTGTCCCAATCATTTAAGATTACTAAAATGTGCTTCTTTCAGCTTTTCCAGAGTCATTACCCATTTATATACCAACATATCTTCTATCCTTAACTATACCCTCATCATATTCAGTCATCATCTCATATTTGCCATAACTAGACTTAAATCCCTCAGCTTCTTCTCTAAGGTACTATTTTTGGTTCTCATCATCATTTGATTGAGAGTTATAACTTTAAAGCTTTAAAAATCCATAAATTTGCTTGAGAATGTAGTTGCACAACTTTCTTTTTTCTTCCTTATGTATCTACTTATTCTTCATCTCTTTATCTTTTCCAATTCCATCATTCATCCTTGACACCCCCACCATAGAGATTTTACAATTGAAGGCTTTTTGGAGAGGGTTTTGTTTGTTAGTGAGAGTAACTTGGAGCTTGGCAAGAAAATTTATGACAAATGAGATTAAACTTATAATTTATGTGAGTGGCTTCTAACAAATTACCATTTAGGGCTTTGCCACGACATGAAAATCTGTTCTTGAGAGTGTTCTTTCAGAGGCTCTTCTCTTCATACTTATTTTTGCATTCTTCTCCACTCAAAATTTCTGTTTATATATAAAACAACGGTTTAAAATTCCTACTACTACTAAAACTTAAATCCCACTCCTTAAACACTTTCTTCCAAACAATGCATCCCTATATTACTGCTAACGCACACGCTAACTCTAAGCCATCAAATACAGGTAAATTTCCCAACGATGAACGATCACACAAAAAATTGGTATTCAGATCTCATAGGATCTCTCTCTTTCTCTCATGGTTTTTTTTTTTTTTTGAAGGGGGCCCTTCTGACTCGTAAAGCATAGCTGAACCCTAAATTGAACTTTTTAACGTTTGGGTTCATGTGCATGAATTGAAAATATATCAAATAATATGAAAATGATCGAAGTTTCCCCACAGCTAAACACACCAAGTATCATCATCGCGAATCACTACGAGTGATATGGAAAATTGCATGATACTGCTGGAAAAAATATATGAAAAATCCTGGAAAACAGTTAACGATAGATTTATAAATGAAAAAAATAAAAAAAAGGGAAGAGAGTACACACCAAAGGTGGAAGAAGCAGTAAAACATGCAGAGCCACACATATAAATTTGGAACTGAGAGCTTCAAAACCCTCTCTATGGCATATAAAAGGTTCCCCTTCAAAGGATGCTGTGAATTCTGGACAATTGGATTGATGTACTGTTTAACAAGAAAAATTACATGTGTTAGAATTACTGTGCTAATCATCTAAAAGCAAAAAATCAAAGGCGTATCGGGCCTACTTTATAATAAAGGAACTTACTTGTTCAACAATGAATCCCATGCATCCAGTAAATATCACCAACTTGAAGAGTTGACGAACTACCCAACCCTTTCGAACACATGCAGTGCGGGGATAGCTCAGCTACAAATAATAATTCCTCGGTGTGAATATAATTGAGCAAATTCAATAACTACAAATAAATAAATAAATGAAGATCAAAATTATTCTACTGAATTCAGTTCTTATGTCAAATACAACTGCAAACTCAGAAGCAAAATTTCAACAGTTTAATGCACCAGACTGGGTGAAATTATGCGATCACAGAAATGAAATAGATTATAATTATTACAACAAATACCATTTGTCCAAAACAAATAATTTGTAAATAAACAACAGTCGAAAAGGTAGAGGGATGCCAACTTCCGCGATGACTGCCAACAAAATGCATTGGAATGACTACAAATGCCAGGACACCTCCTACTCCAAGTGTTCAAATAGGCTGTCTATATTTCACTGCATATTTTATCACAGGCTGCACAAAGCTTATGCCGAACTATGGCCATCACCAGTAGTTTGAAAGCATATTCAGGCTAGTATTGATACTTCTAAGCATTTGAAGATTTATAACATATATCCATTACACTGAAATCAAAATATTCAGAATTTCAATATTTATAACAGATACATGTCATACATGAAGAATAAAGTCAGATGAAAACAAATAGTAGCAGTCTCCAATAGCCAAGCAATTCATAAATACATGCTGTCTCCAAATATCAGACCAACATGGGACTCAAAAAAGGCTCACAACTTGGCGAGGGTGTCAAATGATTAGAGAGCAGAACAGAAAATCAATATGCAGTGCACATATTACAGATGAGATCAGAAGGAAGTAAAAAGGTAAACATAAGGCAACAACTTCAACTCACTTAAGTCTACAAAACATTGTTCCAAGTATTCGAGATTAGAGACATAAATCATCTTCCACCATTGTGCTCATCAATGCTAATGTTGGCCTATCATATCCTTCTGAATTTTGCAGTTAACACATTCCCACTTCCCAAAGTTGAAAATTTAATAGGAAATTGGTTTTTTTGGTTTGCCCCTTATTGCTAGGAATAAATTTGTTCATCAGGTACATTACAATTTCTACTCTGTACTAACTCAAGCAGAAGCATGAATTCAATTATTCTGTCATCTCTCTATGCAGTCAACACATGTAGTTTTTGCCATAGTAATGGTGCATAAACACCAATTCCAGTGAAATCAAGTAACATGAACTGGTTCATGGTATGTGTATAGATTTGAAGCATACATAGAATCTCATCAGCATAAATACAGCTGTGTCAGTGTGTGTATTTATGTATAAACTGAGCATGAATTAATGAAAACTCTTCCTTTAATTATTCATGAATGACTTGCGTCAGCTTACCTGGTAACATAATGTGGGAGCTACCATAAAATATACCAAGCTCTTGAAGCTAACATTGTAGGAGCAATCCATATTCAAATTACTAGAGAAGGCTTCCCCCTAACATCATGTCAAAAATTTTGTGAGTAAAACAATGAGTGTAGCAGAAGGGAATCAAGGGAGAGAGAGAGAAGAGACGATGGAAATAAAATTGGAAATGAGAAGTTGACTAACGAGAATAATAACAATATAACATATAAATATATATTGACATTTTCACAAGCTTTTAGTCGATTTCTACGAATCTTAACCAAGAATTAGATATATTTTTCCTGTTCCATAATCCATGATTCAGGTTGACAGAAACAAAGGTAAAAGTAGATTAGTAAAATCAGCATGCATGACAAAACGGGAAAGAATTTTATCATTACCTTATCAATTGACTTCACAAGTGCTCTCATATCATAATTGGTATGCGCATAAGATACCAACTTTAACCACACAATGCAAGCAAAGAGCATTAACGTGACACCTGATAGAACAGCAGAATCACAACTGCACAAGATCATACCAATGAGCTGTATCATAAGAAAGCATTGGCCAATGTTTCTCCATAAATAATAGATTTCATTTTACTAGAACCAAGAAGATGAGCAAGTGATTTTCAGGTTTCACTTATAATTTCAATAAAAACATCTCAAATGATCTCCTCATCATTTTGCACATTCTTTTAGTTACCAATCTACATTGCCAAAACATCCACCAACCCATGGATTGAATTAGGTTCCTGAAGGCATAGATCAGATGGCTTGCATGGAGAACCTAATCTCAGATGTGCTGAAAGTTACTACTTCTTAATGAACTTCTTTATGTCTTGTTCAGCTAGTATTTTTGATACAACAACTTTACTTCCCAAGGTAGACGGCATATTCTGCTACATGAGGCATTACTTTTATAAAGCCCAACCAAGATACCATCACAATCACAAAGCTGAGCACCAACCTAATTACTCAACCTCATTAACATTACTGGTTCATCACAAATGAAATAGATTAACAGCCTCATAAAAACCTTAAGAGGACATGTTGGTGGACAGTAAAGATGTGAAGTACAAATCAAATAACTAAACCAAATGAAAGATGAAAAACTAACCTGAGAATGACAAAAACAGGATACAAAACTGCAGCTGTGGTTATTATTATGTGAAGAATGACAACCATCTGAAACATTAGACAAATTGTTAACATCCCTAGAGTTTAGAGCCACAAGATATTAACTTGTAGTAAAGAACGATGTTATTATGCCAAATTTCTGATGAACAATCACAGAAGACACAAGTTACTACATCCGAAGCACCCTTTGCACGCAACAGCAGTATTTCTGTATGACAACAGATGATTTAGCTAACTAAAGTCAATAACTTAATGTAGAAATCTTTCACATACCACGATGTTATAATCCAACTATAGTTTTTCTGCACGTGTAGATGCTGACTCTGAAAGTTTCATAGTTGATACGATACATTAGAATTCTGAGAGATCGTAATTTATGTCATTCAATGAAAGAACATAATATCAACACTTGCGAGGACAACATCTCATGAGAGAGAGGAAATGAGAAAAGGAAGGAAGGAAGATGATTCTTTTCTGTCTTTACCAAGATCGAATAATATGCTTGTAGTCATGGCCATCCTCACAGTATATCAAGGTCTCCAGATATCCAAAAACTTGACGAATTAAGGATTCACCTCTATTCTAAATTTCAAATTGTACACGTTGTGTAATACAACATGAACTGTCTGCTTGCTAGAACCATGCCTCCTAAAATCATTAAGCAGTATAAGGATAGACCCATATCTATATCACTGGTCTCCATCATATAAGATTATGCTTAGTCACTGGTTATTATCTGTTCAGAAAATGGAGCTATAATAGGTCACAGTGAGAGAGGGAATCAATTTTTCTATTGAAGGATCAGTGTCAATCGATGAATTGAGTCACTTACTGGTTCAGATATGTACTTCTGTTGCACCAGCTTTTCAACAATAAAGGCAGCAAGTGGGAAAACTGGAAGAGTAAGACTGTACTTGAAACCAGAAGGAAAATGTAGGTAATTATATTAGAATTAGATAATTCCTATCAAAGAGATATATCAATTATTCTAAAGGGATAGAAATCATGAATATATTGTTCTGCAGTAAAGGGGACAAAAGAAGGATCAGGTAACATTACCAGCACATTAGAAGAGGCCAATCCCTCAATGATCTCGAACTAAACCAAAAACCAGACCTAATTAACCAGCCATACTGCAATAATAACCAAGTGTGTCATCAGCAATAGATCCTACCACTTTTTCCAGAGATGACTGATGGAGATCTTTAGACATGTCATGTGTACACCAACAAACACGTTTGTAGTAAATGCAAGCGCGCGCGCGCGCACATACACACACACAAATACAAACGCACACGGAGAGAGAATCATCAAATTCTAATAACTGTACATTGCAGAAGTAAGTGCAATATTATTCTGAGGGGCACACCTTCATCAGATTCTCGATGATAAGTCTACTGTTTACAGCAACAAGCACCACTATACACAGGTTGAAGAGACCTGCATGGCTCTGTCAGAAGATAAAAATTAGAAATTATCATTACAAAGTTCTACTGCAACCTGTTTCAAACAATAACATAATACAATTCATTTCACGTAAGCAAAACAATACCCAGTTGTGGATGTGTCTATGTGTTGGTTATATGTGATCTCAAATCTAAGGACATAAAGATGCAGCTAAATGTTCAAACTGTTAAATAATCGTACTTTTATTTCCAAGGGAAAAACAGTGTGTTACCATTAGAGGAGCTGCTAAAGCATAGACATTTAGGAATGGCAATTCGACCACACTGTCCAGTTGTAATCCCCAACAACCATCCCCCAACCCTTTTTCTATTGAGAAGGGCGTGGAAAATTAAATCCCGAGAAGGATGGATTCACTGTAACAAAAGTCCAACCTGGGCTCAGTCATCCAACAAGGTCACACATCTGTTGACTCAAAAGGTTCTCAATCCTAATTCTACGTATAATAAAGCCCATTCCATAGTTCAATCTTCACCTTCTTTTCTATGGAGTTTTGAAAAATGAAGTACCTTTCCATAGTTTCAAGTAAAGGTGACCAATCTATAGTTTGGCCAATCAAAATTGAATTGCTTTCGAACAACATTAATTATATGACGAATGAAAGTGGCTGAGGTGAAAAACAAATATCACAGAATTAGGGTTCAGTAAATAAACATAATCTCCAGCTCTTGTCAGTTAATTTACTATGCATCCGAATCATTCAGTTCCAGATCACAACAGAGAATTCTAAATTACATCAGAATGACAGTTCCATAGAACTTGAAGCAACTGTGCAAAAACCCTGGCTCAGAGGACCGAAAAATATTTATTATCTCAGGCTTTGTACAACAATTGAACATTAAAAACAGTAGTTATCAGATGTGCCACAGTCAGAATATAACATATAAAAATAAATGCAAACATAGAGAGAGAGAGATGTAAAAAGGAGAAAATTTAAAAAATGCTTACTTGTTTGAATATTGCGTCGGAGCTAAGAGGACTCTCTTTGATTCTCCGATGAGCCGGAGCCGACGGCCGATACACGAATTTCGATAACCCTTCCGTCTCTCTATCGTCTCCATTTCCAATTCCAACCTTTTCAGCACCGCCTTTTCCATTACTGGATTCATGTTCCGATTTACTTAGCTCACTCGTCGAGTCGACTCCAACGCCATTCGTTCCAATCCGATCATGATTACTTTCCGTATTCACCACACTCTCGGCCTGCAACGACGACGCCTTCGAACTCGATTCAGCTCGAGCTCCAGCCTTGGGAGTATTCGCAGTCGATCTCCGGTGAACCGAGTGGCTTAGATCCGATGTGGTCGTGCCTACACTCTCCGGCGCGTCTAATATCGCCATGATGTTTGTGGACAATAGAAAAACTCAAATAGCTTTCTAGAGAGAGAAAGTTCATGCAAAGAATAGAGAGAAAGGGCGAAGAACGAGAGAAATTGGAAAATTTTGGAGAAGTGTTGGTGTATTGGTGAAATTAGGCGGTGATGTATCAGTATATGCAGTGATATATATATATATAGAGGCGAGATCACGTCTCATTCAAATTTCGGAAATCTTTTGGCGTCAACAATAAACATTGATGATTTATAAAAAAAAATATTAATTAATTAAAAAACGCATAAAATTAGATCGAACCACCTTAATGTATACGTGTGTGAATGCGGGAATTTATTGATGGAAAAGCGTGCGCCATGTGAAGGAGGAGAGGAGAGGCACGAACGAGCAGGAGCAAGGGCAACTGCTCAAAAATACAAAACAGCCGCTTGGAAGTTTATGGTATGGAGGCTTGCTTGGACAATGGGATCATATCATATTAAAAAGGAGAATTTCACCCCAAATCTTTGGAATTTGTTATTTAATCACTCAAAATTCTTAATGTTTGACATATTACACGTAAACTTCTTAACATTTGTACGCGCGTAACATTTAGACATTTGCTATAATATATCCATTAATAAATTACATCACAACCTCTAAAATTTGTAAACATATTTTAATTAAATCCTTTAAATTTAAAATATTGTACTTAAACTAAAAATATTTTAATTAAAGATAAAATATCAAATATTTTAAATTTTACAATTAAAATTTATGTTCTATTGTATCATTTATTGAAATAAAATCAAAAATAAAAATTCAAAATTTTTTAAAAAAACATAGTTAATATACAATTATATTGTCTATTAAAATTTAATTTAGTCGTTTAAATGGCCAAATTAAAATACTGAACTACCCTAACTAAAGCTAAAAGATATTGTATTCCTTATAGTTTAACCTCTTATTTAATTTTTTATTTTTATTCTAATAGATAGTATAATTATATACTAACTATAATTTTATTAAAAAAACTAGATTTTTATTTTAAATTTTATTTCAATAAATGACATAATAAAATATAAATTTTGGATTTAAAATTTATATTTTATTATGAATGACTTAAACCCCTTATTTGATTTTTTAATTTTATTCCAATATATAGTATAAGTATATATTAATTACTATTTTTTAAGAAAAAAATAATTTTTTTAATTTTAATTTTATTTCAATAAATGATACAATAGAACATAAATTTTGGTTGTAAAATTTAAAATATTTGATATTCTATCTTTGATTAGAATATTTTTTGTTATAATATTTTAAACTTAAAGTGTATAAATATTCTATAGTTACAAATTTTAGGGGGTTTAAGTATAATTTATCAATGAATATATTTACACTAGGATTTAAGTGTTATATGCGTACAAACTTAAAGAGATTTATATATAATATTTCAAATGTGAAGAGTCTAAATATATAATCACTGTTATAGAATTTAAAGAAAATTAAATATATGTAATTTCTCATGTACAAGTAAAATATGCACGGGTCGTACTACTCTTCACGAGTTAAGTTTTGTTTTATCTGGCTTAAAAGTTTGTACGACACAGCCTAATTTTGGATGAACATAATTGTTTTCGAGGAGTCGCAGTCATAGTCCTATTCATCATAACCCTTTTTAAGGAAACAAAGAACTTTTGGGCAGTTGAGGTACGACCCAACAAAAATGAACGGAACAAAGGTCGGTTCACACCGGTCGAATTAATAAAACCGTCGAGCACTAAAATTAATGAAGCAATCAATTCGGGTTCTCGATTACACTGATTTAAGTTGGATTGGGTCAAACCGAGCCCACTCCAGATTGGAGTTGCTCCAAACTCAAAAATCAGCCCATTTCTATACAAAACAAAAATCTTCCCGCGCAATTGCTAAATGATGTATGACATGATGAAGTGAAAATGTTATTTAGGGGACCACCGTGTCTATGTCGTTATAGATTCGTGTCAAGTATTAATACACCTTAATTTAATGTTAATGGTCCTTTCGGTAGGGTGGATGAAAAAATAAAAATGATATATTTTCTATCATTTAAAAAAAGAATTATTCGGTCTCTCCTTTTTGTTTGATAAGAAAAATGAAAAGTATGAATGATTAATTTTTTTTGTGTTTGATAAGATAAAAACAAGTATTTTTTTTATTATAAAAAATATAAATACATATTTTATCATTATATCTATATATAAAATTAATGTATACACATGTATATATCAAAAGATTTATACAAAAATAATATACATTTCAACACACATAATTAATTTTTTCTCAATTTTGGAGGAATTGATTTTAGTGAGTTGAAAGGAAAGTTAATTTGTCTATTTTTTCATCATTCATATTTATATTCTTTATCAAACATGATATTTTATCTATCCCTCTAACTTTTCATCCATGAATTTTTTCATCATACTCAAACGAAGCATAAGCTTGTAAAATAATTTATGAGCAATGCTACATGAATTTAAAAAATAAATTTAATAATTACAATCATTTATTTTATTGTGGGTTTCAATATTTATTATGACTCACTACCTATTCAATAATTTTAATTATCAAGTCTATTTTTTAAATACATTTTAAAAAATATATTTTTTAAGTTCAAGTAACATTATTTATAATTTATACGTATGTGAGTAGGGGAATTAATTTATGGAAAAGCGTGTGCCGTGTGAAGGAGAAGGAGGAGGAGGAGAGGCAGGAACGAGCAAGGTCAGAGACAAAACAAGTGCTCAAAAGTACAAAACAGTCGCTTGATAGTTTGATAGTGTCACACCCGAACTGACTTGAGTGCAAATGGTCGGTCTTAGTGGCACCTTGCACCAAGGCATGCCAGAAATTAGAATCAAGGTGACACGGCTAAGTGGTTCGACAGATTGGGGCGAATCAAGGCAGCATGAGACCACCCAATTGAGCATGGCAGCATGGGTGGGCTCAATTGAAGCAATGTGGGTGCAGAGCTTCGGATTGCATGGCATGGGTTGAACCCAGCATGCACATTGGTTCGTGTAGCAAGGTTGACTGGTGAATGTGGGCACCTGATTGGCACATGGCTGCTCAATGCATGTGACCAGGAGGATGTGGGCAGTTATGATGCTGAGACTCAATCAAGGCAGTTGCTGAGGCAGTTCTGGATGTCCCCAGTCTGAATCCAGTCTAGATGCATGCTGATGAAGGGCAGTTCCACAACAGTTACTTGAAGTGGTGGAACTGTCTGTCAGGTGTTGCACAGAGACCAAGTTTACCAGTCCAGTATGTTATGGAATAGCAAAAACGTGGGTAACTACCCCTTGGCAGATGGGGGTGTCATCTGCCTTCCTCTTGTATAAATAGGGGTGTTAAGCATTCTGGAAGGGAGAGAGTGTTCTGGCTTTTGAGAGTCCTTGTAAATTGTTGAGTTCAATATATAAGGTTTTGGAGTGTTGTCCCAGTAGATTCGTGTGTGCCTTCTGTGTGAGTTTCTGTCTCTTATTCTTGAGTTGAGTGTGGCTGATTGTAATAGCAACGCCTTCACAGATATTCTCAAAAGAAAAACGAAAATTACCCTGTCGGATGGTATGGAGGTTTGCTTGTGCACTGGGATCATATCATATTATAGGCTGGCAAATGATAATTATCATTTCGTACTATGTCTTGTATTTATTTCACTTTTTTGTTGCTATAAAAATATGAATACTCGAATTATAATAGTTATTTTATTAATTAATTAAATTCATACTCATTTTTTTTTATAAATTAAAAATTAATTTAATAAACATAACAATAAAAATTAATAAAAATATCTTTTTTGTACATTAGTTATGTCAATACTTAATAAACAATAACAACTAATTAACATTTTATTTCTATAAAACGTGTTAATCGTGTCAATTTCGTGTTATTTTTGTTTGATATTAACTCAACATATTTATAATTCGTGTTAATAGGGTTTGTGTTTAGAAATGATCAATTATAACTCGCTAATTTCATGTCGATTTCAAGTCATATTTTTTTATTGTGTCAGAAATTGTCACTCGTTATTATTTGGACTCTAAAAATTGATATCATTTGTCAATTCGATTGATCACAATAATTGAATAGATATTGAGTTTCAATAAATACTAAAATACATAATTAAATCAATAACAATAATTAATTAGGTCAACAAAATGGTATCGACTTTTGGAGGACAAATAATTATTACACAAAACCTATTAAACAGAAGAAAGGGGGAGTGGGTGTAAAATAAATATTTCTCAGCAGATGAAAATCCGTTTACCTTCAAACTAACGATGATAAGAAGGCAAAAACTTGTTAGAGGAGATCAGCAACTACATTGGATGGCAGCTCCTCAACTGCCACATTGTAAAACTTCTGGATGTCAAACATCATCCTTTCATCGTCCACTACGTCCAATACGGTGGAGATAGTTCTCGGGTTGGGTAGGAAGATCATAGTTTATCACGAGAGAGACTTGCTGGACATCAATGCCTCGGGCAAAAAGGTCGGTGGTTATGACAACACGAGAGGACCCAGAACGGAATTCACGCATGACGATATCTCTGTTGTTCTGGTCCATGTCTCCATGGGTGGCTGATACTATGTGGTCTCGGCTGCGCATTTTATCTGTCAGGCAGTCGACCTTGCGTCGCGTGTTCACAAAGATAACACTCTGGGTGATGGCTAAGGTTTCATAAAGATCACAGAGACTCTCAAGCTTCCATTCTTCCTTATCAACATTGACACAAAACTGCTTTATACCTTCTAGGGTGAGCTCAACGCGCTTCACAAGGATCCTCACCGGTTTGTCCATGAACTTCCTGGTGATCTCAAGGGCCTCAGGAGGCATTGTGGCAGAGAAAACCCAAACCTTAACTTTTTGAAGGCAGGAGCTGGAATATATCATATATCTGAACACAATATATATTTACCATTAGAACAAGTATAGATAATCAGTGGAAACTGAAGAGATACGCCAAATTCAGACATTATTATTTTCAGACCTAGAGATTTAGAATATTGTGACATATTTGAGTTATGAAGCTCAGAAACCAAGAACTACGATAAATGTGGTATGAAGAACATCCATCGCTATCAAATACTGGATAATTCACACTTGGGTCAAGTATGTGAGAATCACCAAGATGCTCTATTTCTAAGCTAAACCAAAAGCCAAGTTCCACACTGTATCATACACCACGATTCCTTTCCCTTTTCCCAATTGAACCAATCTACAAACCCTTTACTCATCCTCTAGCTCCACAACAACCTGTAACTTGGACCAAATCAATCCTCCTGAATCGTGTATATTGTCATTATTGCCCATGACCTAAGCAATTAAAAAGTTACATTTTACAACTCTCTTCCCCTCCTCATTTGTAAAGTTGGCAATATCAGATTCGAAGATGCTATTGCTTTTCTCTATTTTCGGTTACTTATTAGATGTTTAATAAAAAAACATGTTAGAAGATCAGATAACATAACAAAGCACAAATACAAAAAAGTGGGGTTATTGCAGAAAGACCTGATCCTTAAAACCTCGTGAAAGCGCCTCATCCAATACAAACATCCTAATGCAATCAAGACGAAGAGACTGTCTTCTCAACATGTCAAATACACGCCCAGGAGTTCCAACAACAACATGTACCCCAATCGACAGAATGCGCTGGTCCTCACGAACACTAGTTCCACCCACACAAGCATGTACCTTCACACCAAGGTAGTCGCCAAGTGCACGCATAACCTTCTCAATTTGTTGTGCGAGCTCACAAGTAGGTGCCAATACCAAGGCTTGGCACTCAACCAATCCATAGTCAAGCTGTTGAAGGATACCAGAGCAGAAAATTGCGGTCTTCCCGGTTCCAGACTGTGTTTGTTGAATCACATCAAGACCCTTGCAGAAAGGAACTATTCCTCTTTGCTGAATCACCGAGGGTTTTTCAAATCCTAAATATGAAGAATCCAATGAAACAATGAACGCTGATAACACTTCAAATGCATCACCATATTGTACTTTTACAACATTCTTGTTACATCGAACACATGCACAAGCTGAAATTATAGAAGGCCGCTACAAGTTTTGGAAAATCCATCAATTGGTCATGGCCATTAAAAAGGTAAAGCAAAACTTCAATGCAGCCAGAAATTTTAGGAAAACTCATAGTTGGTCATGGAGGCTAAAAAAACAGTAAAGCAATGCTACAATATGATACATAGCTGATGACTCGATGTGAAACAAAACTATATGTCTAAGTCCTACCGTATGCATATATGCCCCTTTGAAGATTCTCTTGCAAACCCATAGCATCAAAACTTTCATGAGCCTCATCATATGATGTAAAGAAATCTTGCCCATCAGCTGAAAGTCTGGGTTTACAAAACCATGAATACAATCAACACACTAATTAACAATAGAGACATAAAACCTTCTGGATATTAAGTTGAAATGTAGCATTAATTGTGCAAAAACCATGAACATAAACTCTCATGTACAGCTTTTATGCCTAATAAAGGTTTTTTGAAAGACAAGAAAATAATGAGAGAGAGAGGTTCTTACAATTCAGTCATTTTGTTATCGTATTGACGCGCATCAGACTCTGATCTTTCTGGTGCCAAACCTACAATGACTGCAAATTGTTGACAATTATTCATGAGCAAACCGTTTATCAGTGTTAGATTTCATAGTATGCTTGAGCAAGAAGACAGATACTCACACACAGAAGGGATTTTCCATTAAACTATTTTTAGTTCAGCGTACATGCATTTATATCTAATCTTAGTTACAATGCCAGCTAGAACTAACAAACTAACAGACTGATATGCAGGTTAGTCTCTTCAGCAACAGAATTGGATTCCTTCACGTGCTATTTGTCAAGTGGCTGATATAAGAGAAACGCTTGAGTGTAGTGCTGGTATTGAGTAATAATCAGCTCCAAAAATACAAATATAAACGCAGTTCAAAATCATGAAGTACAAAAACACATTGCCTGTTTGTTATTCTTATAAAACCAAAAGCATCAAAAACTCTTTCACCACTCGTAGCACAAGCTCAGATAGTAATCGGACAAAAAAAAACACCGAGGCATCTCATGGAATACAATTCAATAAGTTTATACGCAAATTTCATACAGTTACATACCAATTCAATAGATGGAGCTAAAGTTCAAAAAAAAAAAAAAACTGACTTTAGTCTACTAAACTCAAAACATAACGATCGAAACAGCATAAAATCACCCAAAACAGTATAAAACATATGCATACATATTTCTACACGCAACGAAATCGTAGTAGTAAAATTTAGATCAACGAGAATGATAAGTGAGAGACCTGATGAAGAAGAAGAAGAAGAAGAAGAATTAAAGAGTCGAGAAAAGAAGAGAAAGCTTGGTGGGGAGTTGAGAGGAAATTTTTTTAGGGTTTTTCCAAACTTCTCGGATCTACGCCGGGGAGTTGAGAATTAGTTAAAAAGAGTGAGACGCGAAGAAAAGTAGACGAAGTTTCTATTTATCAACCAAGTGTCGCACTTTTTTTGGTTTTGCGAATTTGGCCCAGAATTTTAGTAAGCTATTATATTCACAATACGCGTGGCTTATTTGTTACTATATTAATGATAGTGCCTTAGCAACTATTTGAATTTTCGCTATTAGAAGGTAAAAAATTGACATGATTTGTTGATTTGATCAATCATAATTATTAAATTTAAAAATATTAATATAATTGGTTGATTTGATCAATCACAATCATAATTAATTATGGGTTCTAACAAATACTGAAATTCACATTGATTAAATCACTAAATCATGTAAATATTTGAAGTCTAAGTAACATTATTTTTTTTATTTTCTTATGACAACTAAATTCATTTAAATCCATTAAATTAACTCATAAACTCTAAATAAGTATAACACTCAAAACATAAGAATAGAATGACCAATATTAAATAATTGCCCATTCCAATGTTTGATATATAATAATGAAAATTTATTCTCATCACGCTGCAATTTTTAATTCTAATAGTATTAGGTTTATCATTCCTTAATATGATGAGGTATTTCTCACTCCCAAGTCCCAATCACCACTCCTCCCCTTGGCCACCACCACTAGTAACCCCATTCACAGCCACCCCCCCACCCCTTCCCTCTCTCTCCCTCTCCCCCTCTTCCCCCCCCCCCCCCCCCCCAACTTGAGGCCGAGATCTTGTTTGGAATGGGATTTGGGGTCAGGTGTAGCCTGTAGGTCCGAGTTAGGGTCAGGTCCAAGTGCGAGTCGGGGTCCTCAAGAATATAATTTTTTCTTGATCTTTATTTGTTTTTATTATTTTCCTTTTGAAGGCAAGATGAGGCCTGAATGACCTTGAATGAACAAATATGAACTTTAAATTCTCAGCAAAATATCATATTTGGACAACTTCTTGCATGCTTTGCATAGTGACCAATGACCATTATGCCACTGACTAAAGTTTACAAAAATAGGTACCTTTCCTTGCCATCCAATCTTAACGTCGCATGGAAATTGCTACCTCAATCCTTTGATCCAAATAAGAAACATCATATATATGTAATCAGCATTTTCACAGATTAACCGGAACAAACCGTCATCGGTCTAACACTGGCTCACATAATTGTAGTAATGTTGCTCATAAACTGCGAATCAAGGGTACAACAGCAATCTATGCTGAACTACGAGCAACAATTTGGCTGGACACTGTCACCTTCTTACTTGTAAAGCCTTTCCTCTGCTCTTTCTGGTAAAACTAAATTCATCAATGAATGCCATCATAAGCCTATGCTTGGTAAACTTCATTCATTGGCATCTGCACCGGAATGTGCACAAGTGGCTTCCAAACTGTGAGATAATATCTACTAAAGCTCCATAACCAGCCACAGCTGTTACCTGAAAAAATGTGGGAAAAAACTTAGAACCTATTGTGATTGATGACCAATGGGTCAAGGGTTCAAGCCCCCTTCCCCTCCCCCTCCCAAAAAAAAAAAAATATTGTGATTGATGAAGCTGTAGTGGGTATTCTACGAGTGTTTCTGTGTACAAGACTGGTAGTGAGTGTATTGAACGAAGAGGGCGGCCTGGGTTTCTCGCAATTTTATTTTTAAACATTATCAACATGCTTCCAGTTTCATACCAATTCCTCTAGAGCTAGGTTCTCTGAAAAAATGTTCCATCCCCAGAAAATGTTTGCTAATTTTAGTTCAACCACTGTTTTTTTGTTCAATTTCATTTTATACAGAATCTGAGTGGCAACTTTACAAACAGTCAGCATAAGGTGCCTTTTAACTTGGTACTCAAGTCAACAAAGTGAGCATATTCTCAAATATATATCCAACTAAAGAACCACTAAGCAAAAGCTTCCTAGTAAAAAATAGCAAACAAAGGAAAAGAAGGTCAAATCAGAACATACACCCGATGGATGCAAGGAGACAGAAAACGCAGACTGGGAAGCACATTGAATTTGTGAGAGAATAACCCCATTCATGTCAAATCTACTAAGCTGGGGTTCTGCTCCAACTGCTAAAATCTGGCGGAAATAAATTTGTATTAGGAATAGGAAGGCAGAAATTATCATGAATAAATGAAAGGCACATAATTAAGAAGTCAAGAGCAGATTATACTAGATAAAAACCTGGGGAAAAATGGAAATTGCAATCCACACTGTTAAAGATGGTAGACCAACACGAATCCAGAACATTTAAAACTTAGGCATGCAGTGGCACTGGCAGTGGGTAATATGCAGGCATGTCAAAGATTTAGATCATACTTTATATGATATAATAGAAACCACTCAAGTATCAAAAACAATGAAAGGTGATAGATTGGCTTCGGAAATAGTAATCCAACAAGTGCTTAATTGAGTTGGTTTATTTTAAAGAAGAAGAAAGACAATAAGAGCTCAAAATCGTCTTTGTGAACCGCAGTAAGTGGGTCTCAGAAATTGTAAATTTTCAAACAAGTCAAAACATTTGTCATGAGCGATGTATTGAACATCTAGATTACATGCTCATACTGGTATTGATTTCATAAACCACCCCTATGAAACGGAGGAGGAGAATCAACCCACATATTAGCCTTCCAAAGTTAATTCAAGAACAATGAAACTTAAAAAGGTGGCCCAGTTCACAAAACTCCTGAGTCCTGCCACTGCAGGGTCTAGGAGGATCAGATGTATGCAGTTTTAGCCGCGCAATGCGGAGATACTGTTTCTGCGACTCTAACCCTCAACGGTCATGAACAAACTGGAGACTAGAAGTTTGACTATTACCAAGAAAGAGAAAATAACTCACTTGATTTTCGTCAAACAGGACATCTTGGATAGAAGCATGAGTGGAGATCCTTGATATGCATTCACCAGCAGTAAGACTCCAAACTGATACAGTCTGACCACTTCCACAAGCCTGTGAAAGTAAATATGTACTGAAAAAATCATTCCCTAAGCCAGGTTACTATAGCAGTAAAGTTATTCTTCACACAGGAAGAGAAAAAGAACACTATCTTTGCATATGCCAAAGAATTTGTGGAGTTAATTTACGTCTAACACAAACAAACAAAAGTACACACTAATATTCAAAACATTTTAACTGGGCAGGTTTTGAAAGAACTAGACTCATATAAGTATTTTATATCTAAGCCAATTCGCTGAGGCGTAACATGAGAGAGATCTTGTAGGATGTAACCTTCACCAATGACCACCTGATGTTGAAAATGTCTGGGCACAATCGTCTCAAGTGATTGGGGGAGATTATCAATCACAACTCACAAGGTCAACTGCATCGTGTTAGACCTGGTTCATTGGTCAGCCCCTTCTGCCCCACTTACCCCTTTTGAAGGGAGCCAACCAATCCAGACATTAAGGCCAAAGTGCTCCCCAAAACAGCACCAAGAGTTGAGCCAGCCTTGAAACTACCAATGATAATTGACAGTTACAGATCTTTATGTGTGAATCCAGTACCTGAATTCAATGGTAATTTACACAGCGCGCTTCACGTTGCTAAAGCCCCCGCTTTGCTTCAGCAAAGCCGCACTCCAGTTCGTGCCTTGCGCTTAGGCCCCAGGAGACATTAGTGCTTTGGTGCGCCTTAAACCTTAAATAACACTGGCTCTTTAAATTGGAACAGGCCACAATTTTGTGGGTGTACATTTGACACATAAGGTAACAGAGCTTAAGTTGGAAGTGGAAGCCAAACCATCGTTGGAGCAGATTCTAGATGTATTCCATAGACAACCCAAGTCTTCATGGACATGGTTGCCTGAATTCCCCAACCAGTCAATGAGACATATCACTTTAACATTCTATATAGCCAACAATGACTACGTTTCTTGGACAACTTTCAATCATCTCATGCCAAAATGAAAAGCCCATAAAGAGCACAAAAAATGCAAAAATAATCCAACCATAATATAAGAGCATATATTAGAATCAATGATTACATCAGAACAACTTGACCGAACACAATCTTACCAACCAGCTCTCACTTGCATCGAGACCAATGCAGCTAACACATGGAAAGAATTCTTTCAACTTCTCATCCTTCTTCGGATCAATTACTTGTACACACTTTCCACTTTTGCAATCTATGTTCAACCATATAATATGCAGAAAGTATGACAAGATGTTATCAAAGGATGGACACGATTTCCAATTCGACAATGAACTAGAATAGCAAAAGCAAATCAACTTTACCCCATATTCGAGCTGTCCCATCCTCTGAACCAGTTACGATCTGAATAAGCAAAAGTGGCAAAGAGATAATCAAATGAAAAGAGCAGATCAATTAAGAAGATAACCTAAATGCAATGTAATCAGGGCTCTAGATAACACCAAGGTGATGCGCCATTTTAAGCAAGGCAAAGAAACTAGGCATGACAAGCAGAAAAGAAAATGTCTTAGGACCTTAGGCACAGTGAGGGTAGTCTTCCCTCGTACACATAAACTCCCGACCAAGCTTAAGTGGAGATTCAATCACAGGCCAACCAAGTCCCCTCCTTAACCCCCACCACTCCCCCCCAAAACACCCCAAACAAAAAAAAAAACAACAACAAACAAAGAAAACCCACCCCAAAAAAAGATAAAAGAAGGCTCATATCAGCCTTCAAATATACACCCTATATAAGAAGGCCATATAAGCTTTCAAAATTGTCAGCCAAGTACCTGTAAAATTGCACTTGAGATTTTTTAACTTAAAAGAGTTAGATCACGAGCACTTCTACACTATGAAGCATATGTGGTACTTAAATATCTTTGATAATATCAGCCTACGATATAAAATGGCAATAAAATCAGCCTACGATATAAAATGGAAAAAAAGAAGATAATGTGGTTCACACTTCACATCAACCAATCTAAGACCTCAAGAATATACTTCTTAGGGGAAAAAAAGAAAAGAAAAAGAACGACAGAAGAAAGAAATTCCACATATCATCTCACATAACTCAGAAGATGCAATAAAAAAGGATGGGTCTTAGAAAAGGGAGGAAAAAATTGACCTGATTTCGAGAATTGCGGGCAACAATACAATGCAAATAGTCCGAATGCCCCCTGAAAACCATTTTGATTTCACCTTTTTCCTGAAAATTTTCGATAGAATGAGGTTGGAGCTAGAACAGCTCCTAGAAAGGAGAGGGGAAAACAAAGCAGAGAAGGGGAAAAATCACATTCAATGAAGCCAAGTAAATGAAAAACATACTAAAACTCTAAAGCATATCATTAGGTAATAAATCACCTTGAACAACTACATACCACATCCCAACAATATGCACAAGAATCACCAGCAGCCGCAAAAATGGATCCTCCCTAAGGTATAAGGTGAAAAAACAAATTAAACTTATGAAAATTATACAAAGACTAGTTGCTATCAATATCAAGCATGGATATATACTACCTACAAAGAAGGAAAAACACAAACCTGAAAATCAAAAGCAATTGCATTGTTCTCTGGGATTGGGGAAAGTGCACCCCAAGGACCTCTGGGAGAGAAAAAAGACAGGAAATGGAATTCAAGCCAATAAGAAAGACTAATAAAGCATGGATATAAAAGAATTGGTGTAGTATAAAAGAAAATAAGCACCTAGAAAGCAGGAGAAATAGGGGAAACAACGCAAGAATATAAAAAAACATCGAGCAAAGATCTCTGAGCAAATGGACGTATAATATCAAATGAGCCCTTTATTAACACATCTTCCTTATAAATGTTGCAAAGTATGCAAACGCTAATAATATCTATTCCTTCTTTCCCCACATTATCTACAACACACAGGCTGACTCTGCCATAAATAAAAGATGATTGTATTTCTGAAAAAGAAAGTTTTACAAGATACACACATGGGATGTCTCAGTTTGAATGTGGATACAGAAATGTCCACTATATCTAGACGTGGAACAAGAGTGACATTTGACCACAAAAATATGGTGGTGTGCTTAAAAGATCAAACATAATATTGAATGTCAAGGCATACAGTTTTTTGGAAAACTTACTTATGTTGAGGATTCACCAAATTGAGTACAGACTTCAAATGGCCTCCTGCAAAAAATGAAACAAATAGAAAATTAAAAACAGAAAGAAACTTATATTCCATTTTGACCTTCAGAGGTAAAAAACAATTTGATTGAGTAATAAGAATTAAAAAGAGTACAAAAAATATGGTTTCTGTATTCCTTCTGTAATTAGAAAGAGGATAATTCGATAACATGCAGAGCAATCATTACACGAATTAACAGGTTTAAGTTCCAGCAACCTATAGGTTAGCATGGTTCAGTGCAAGATTGATGCCAATCCAACCTAGTCATAAATTTTCTGTATTAAACACTCAAGCACACACCTTATATAGGCAATGTCAATAGAACTCCAACTTAACTGAATGCCCCACAAGGAATGTTGTTCAAAAGATCTTATGCAGAATGCACATTTAGATTACCTTGCATAGACACATCTGAACTCAAAATTTCCTTCCACCTCCATCCTCGAATCCGACCATCATCCCCACAACTACACAACAAATCACAGTTACCAAGAACTTCAGATCCAACATAAAAAGCTTAATTTTTTAATTAAACCAGTTTAAAGTGAACCAGTCTTGTATTTGTGAGTCTTTAAGACAATACACCATGGTTTGACAAAGCTATTTTGAACTCATCAGACTGAACTTTAAATTGAACAGTACAATCAGCCAGATGCGCACTCAGAAACAAACTTTGACAAAACAATAAAGTATGATTGTTTGTATTAAACGAAGTATAGATATCTGATGCATACTATGTGCAAGATATAGAGATGTTAGTTTTAAAAAATACCTCAATAACAAGGAATCTTCACCGTGACCGTAAAACTTGACATCGTAAGCAGGTCCATCATGCCCTTGAATGAAACAGTCGGACTCAGCCACCAACACACTACATAGAATATTCCACCGCATAATCAACCAAAATCACGCTTAGATCAATCCCACTCACATACAACAAATCCAAACTAATTATAAAGAAACAGAAGCACTTACTTCTCAGCCCTGGCATTTCCAAACCCTAAACCCTAAATTGAACAAACAATCCCATTAAATATTATCATTTGTACATGTAAATTAGCAGAAAATCTCTGTTTTTGTGGAACTTACGAGACAATGGGAGAGAGAGTAAGAAGCGATTGAGCCATCGCTGGAGGCGGTGACGATGAGGTCAGGATTACGGTTTTGAGATGGGGCAAAAGCGGTTCGGAAAACGGTTCGACACTGTAGCTCTCTTTCTTGTACTATGGTATCTCTGTAGTCGTCTTCGTTCCAATTTCTGCAGTCCATCTCCATCACCATTTTGGAGCTCTGAGAACTGGTTCCGGCTTTGACCAGTTTGGTTCACTTCCGTGACCTGAGACTCGAGAGGGTGGGGAAAGTCAAAAAGAGTACAAATGTCGAATACGCTTACAGGAACGACGTCGTGCGTTTCGTAGTGGCCTAAGGATTGAAATGTAAATTCACAAGTGATTTTTGGATAATTTGATGCAGTCGCATTATAATACATACCGAGCTCATTGTTCTACAACTATGAGTGATAATGGCATATGATTAGCAAGGGTGCAACTCGGGAGGGTTGGGTGAGTTGGACAATCAACTCTAGTCTAACCTTACATATATAATCTTTAACTCTAACCCTATCTTGGCTTAGGGAACTCAATCCGAGTACTGTCCGAATTTAATTCGGACGGGGGCGGGTTGAATTTGGGTCGATAATTTCAGGTTATTTTACGGGTTCAATTCGAATTCTATTTGAGTAGAGCTCAAAATAGTCTTGTTATTCTAAACCTAATACATATATTACATAATATTCACCTAAATTAACAATCAATAACTTCAACCAAGTTTTTAACGAGAGAGGCTGAGAGAACGAGAGAGGCAAAGAGAAATAGAGAACAATAGAACAAAAATGAAAAATCAGTGCTAATGTTATATATATATATATATATATATATATATATATATATATATATATATATATATTTATTTTTTATTTTTATTTTTAATTTGTTGGGTTCGGGTTGAATTCGGGTTCACAAGACCTTAACTTGATCCCAACCCAAATTGAATTTGGGTTAGAAACTTTTGACCCAAGCTCAATCCAAATATTAAAAACCCTTATCCAAACCCTAATTTTTTCAGGTTGGATTTGGGTTAAAATTGGATTGCCCATCCCAAGTTACACCCTTAATGATTAGAATAATTTTTCATTATCCACAAAAATATTGAGAAAAATATCTTCATAGACGGACATGTATTTTTTTAAAAAACGTAACAATCAGTCTTTAATAATTGAATCGTAAAATTTATCTCATGTATTTTAAGCACGGAATTAATATATATTGAGTTATTCATAATCCATGAAGTTTATGAATAGTTAATCAGCCTCACAAAATATTCTCCTTCCCACGAGCTCCAACCACTCTTAGATTTTATGTTCTCTCTGTCTCTTTCAATAAGCGGATGGTGCAGTGGCCAGTGGTAGATTCAATGAGGGGTTGGGGGGTGGTGGGTTGGTGGCGATGATGAAAGACTGAATTGATAGTTATGGAAAAAATATCACAATCCCAATTAGAGTTGGAGAGGAGACTAAGGGAACACGGAAGGCTAGGGAGAGGGCGCGCAATAGAAAATTAGACTAACGCATTCTTGTTTATCAATATTAATATATAGTTATAACAATAAATATATTTGTATTAACACCTAAAATTAAATCACAAATATAAATGAAAGGAAAATAAATTTAAGCACATGTGGTAATTTGGGTAAACGGTAGTAATGGTGATGAGTGGCAATGGTAATGATAGGAGACGGTGCTGATTGTGGTGAGTGGTGACGATCGTGGTAATAGCTGTGGGTGGTAAAATGATGGTGGTGGTGGATTTTGGATAACGATGGTGGCAATGACAGTCATGGATGACGATGGTGGTGGTGATAATGATAGTGGTTGGTGTGGGTGATGACGGGCGACGATGATAGTGGTTGGCAGGGATGGGGGTGGGTGACGATAAGTACTTATGGAAGATAGTTTGATGGGTGGTGCCAAATGACAGTGATGATGGTAGGTGTGGTGGGGGGTGGATGACAGTTGATGGCAACAATAGTGGGGGACGACGAGTGGTAATGGATGGTGGTGGGCAACAGTGGCGGCACAACAGCATTAAAAAAGAAAAATGGGCTTTAGACTCCAAATTTTTAGAAGGCCATATAATTTTAGGTATATTACTAAACCAAAAAAAATTTAAATACTTTAAATTTTAAACTCTAAAAAAATGTCTCAATATTGTAATAATTTGGGTCCATTATCTAATTCATAACATTAGAAACCTAAAAATCATAAGGTGAAAAAATAAAAAAGTATTTAAAAGTCAACTCATATTTACTCGTATTCTCTCTATGTGTAAAAATAAGTAAAAAATATTTAAAAAAATATAAATTAAATTCTTTCTCCTGTAAAAAACAAAAATAAAAGTTAAAACATTTTTTCTCGGTAGCACTAACACGCCCTTCTTTTGTTTTTCTCTCACATAATAAATTAATTTTTGTAAAAATTGATATTAAAAAAAAAAAGGCTTTATTTAATATTTTTGTTTTAAGCCTCAAATTACCTCAAGCCACCCCTGGTGAAGCAACGATGATAGTGGTAGGTGCTAACAGTGGGCGACGATGGTAGCAGAATGATGGTGATAGTGATAATAAATATAATAACAAGATGATGATGATAGTGGACAGTGGTGATGGATAACGATAGTAACAATCAATAATGAGTAGTGATAATGATGATAGTGGTGATGGAGGTGGAGGTGGGGGGTGGGGCAATGGTGGTGGTAATGGGGTGGCGATGGTGGTGGGGCAATAGTGGTGGTTGTGGGGCGGTGGTAATGGTGATAGTTGTGATAGTGGTGGTAGGGCAGTAAGGGTCGTGGTAGTAATGATGGGGCAATGGTAGTGGTGGTGGTGAAACGATTTTAAATACTATTTTTTTTTAAAAAAAAAGTACAATTTATAAGTTCTAAAAATATTTTAAAAAATCACCTCAAATAGACCCTTAAAAATCTATTTTTTCTATTAAATTTAAAAAATTAATATTAGCCGTCAAATTAATTTTAAAATACAATTTAAAGGAGTCTTAACTGAAAAAAATAAAAAATATTTTATTTATTTTTGAAATTTGAATTATATTATACTATATAATATACATACTGATCTAGCCATGCTATTCCCGAAATACTTATTCACAATGAATGGATAGGCCCCGCCCCTATTTAATTGATTTGATTCTTATTGAAGATCTGATACTCACATCTTAAATCTTGAATTGAAACCTCGAGGAATGATCCCAACCATTGACAATAATGATTAGAATCGAGCGTCTGCAATTAAGTATCAACACAAAACCAATTTATAATCACTTTCATCACACCTCAAGAAAATATATTGAGCATGGGATTACTAAATGTACAAGTTCCTAAAAAGAGTCTCCATGCATTAACTTGATAAGATGAAAAGTACATAACCTACGCCATCAGCACGATTTCGCCACGTGAACCTGCCAAGAAATGTAAACGAAGAGAAAACTAATAAATAAGGAAAATAGTCACATTATATATATTATAATATAAGGGAAAACTATGGAGAAGGAGACAAGAATGGTATTCTGGTATTACATTTCTCATAAATCTCTTTGGCCAACTGCAGCAGTGAATCAGCGTCTTCAGCCATCTTTGAGACCCTCTCTGCCTCTTTGACAGCCTCAGCTGCTACAAACGATTTGTTTTCTGCTTCTGCAATCTTATAGGCAGTAGCCACTGCAGCTTCTTCCAGTGTATCACCAAGATAACCAGTAGTTTGAGACTGCCTAGGCCGGATATCTTTCTGTTTTGGGGCAGTGCTTTTGGCTCCGAGTAAGATATCTTTTTTGATTCTGTAGCAATTCTGGACCTGCACTTGACATTGAAGAAATTGGAATGAGCCAATATTCTATTTAAACCTGATTCTTTAGAGATAATTGGAAAATGTAGTGGAAATGTTGCAATAATTTGCTTCCACTACTTCAATGTATCATTTCCTTGTTCTCCTGTGGGGGGAGTTTTCTTTTAGAGTTTTTAATCCCCTCAACATAAGAATTGAGACTAGAACACAATTAAACAAGGTAGTGAATTGTATCAAGTTTCCCTTTGATGAGCATATATGTTAAAACCTAACCTTACAACCAGGGGTAGGAAAAGCATTTCCATTTAACAATTGGAAAGTACATGTGCCAATAAAAGTAGACCTTACAATCCCCAAAGAGAAACCTTATTGAGAAAAGATTGCAAGATTTTTGTCCGACTCCCTAGCTCTGATTCTTTTACACCTCAATCGGAAATCTGGCTCGAGTTCCCATGAAATTTACATTTTTGCAGTGCTTGTTCCAAGATATTGTTCGAATCCATTCCAATACACTAAACTTACAGATCCGACAAACTTTTGACTCTTCTTTCCCCATATAACTAGATAATAACAACAGTGGAACAAAAAATCATATAGATGATAAGCATTGGAAAACAGAAATATGGCATGCCCAACCTTATTACAGTTTGTTTTCACCTCAGCAAGAAAAGTCGATGATTGTCAAAAGCAATTTAACTTCACCAGACACAGAACAGAAAACACTTCACCTTTTCAAGCTTGTCTTGTGCAACAAGTCTTCTTAACCTAGAACTCAGTAGCCTTCTGAAATTTGGGGGCACCTCATGCCTTTGCTGCATAAATTGTCACGAAAACCAGAAACTCGTTAGTTTTTCTAACTAGTCAGTTAGAAAGCAGACCAGAAATCCATACACAATTACTGAATCATATTATCATGTATTATAGTTGTCAAATCGCGTTTCGTATTGTGAATATCGCGATTCGTATCGTGAATTAGAATTTTAAATTTGAGAATTGTGAATCATAAGATTCAACACAAAATTTGAAAAAAAATAAAAAATAATTTCTACATATTTAAAATAGGCAAGATATTGAATATTGAACATTATTATATTCTAAAAATAATTAATTAACATAATCACATCGTCTTAAATCGAAAGTCTCTAGTCTTTTGCTTCATTTTCATCTTTTGCTTAATTATTTTCAAATTCAACAAGCTTGACAAAAAAAATTCATTAAAGAACCATGGTTATTCAAAAATCAAAACAGTGTCCCCCTGTACAGATTAGGTTGCAAACATGAATGGAAAAATAACAAATAAGAAAATTGATTGGGAGAAAACATGTAGGCTAACATTTTAAAATAAAAAATTAGAACCTAACAAACTACTCATTAAAGAATTGAAAGCAAAAATCAAAATTTATTTTGAAATTTGTGACAAGAGATAGAAAAATCCAATATAAAAAGAAAAAGGAAAAAGGCATGCTTGGGTTTGTTTTAAGAAAAGAGGAACAAGAGGCATACTTTCAGCTGATGATGCGACTGAGTTTTTATTAGGGCGTAGATTCCTCTACAAACAAAACGACGTGATTTTGTAAAAAATCTGGGTTTTAAAAAAAAGTGACTGAATCGTACAATATGTACAATACAAATTGAATCATACGAATCTTGTGATTTTTGTACGATTCAACTCTAAAAACGATTCTCATATAAGATACAAATCGTTTTGTGCCTGTACCGAACTGAATCGTACAATTCGAATCGTGAATCATACGTTTTTTATAGCTATAGTATTACATACCAAGAAACCAATATTGCCTCCTCATTTTGAAGACATTTAGCATTAAAGCAGGCACTCTCCTTAAAATCTACCTATAAACTCTTCTTAAAGTCTTCCGCTCAAGTCAAAGGAATCAAAAGAACATAGAGATGGTCATGATCATGTTTCTTCCTTCCCCTGAGTAGGTCTCAGCATTTGGGCAAATTATTTAGGCCTTATAAAAGCAGAATCACAAGAATAAACAATAAAGGACATGCAAGTGTTTTAAGCCTGAACGGGGCACATCTAACCCTCGATCAATCACCATCAAGCCATGATTTCAAGGAATCCAAAGCTGTAGTACCCATCAGAAGTCAGAACAACAAAATCCCACACAACCAAACAATGAGGTATGCCCCGGTGGCAGAAGCCTAACTCTAAGGTAGTATGAAAGAAGTAATCTTTTTTCTTCACCAACTCATGTTCCTGCTATATGGAGAAAGCAAACATCAAGTTTCCACCATCATCCATAGGAATATACTTCATATCCAAATGGTTGGAGTTGGACCTTCCAAGTATTAACACTAAAAGTCAACCTAACTTTCCCTCAAGACAGAATGTCCAAGGAGGATAATCTGCTTTTAGCAATTCTCTCAGTGCAAATATCCAGTCTTTCCTGATTCAGCTTAAGGCAACCCGTTCCCACAGGAAAAAAAGAAAGAAGACAAAACAAACTTCACAGAAAAGGATTCTGGAACCAGTCAGTATGAGCTAATTCTGAATGCAAGATGTAGAAAAACATAGTAGACTCATTGAAAAGAAAAAGTGATACATTAACCTGAGGAGATTGTGATCAAGCAGCTGCACAAAAAATTTGCTACACAAGCTAGGTTGTCACTGTGATGTTTCGTCATTTTTCATCTTCCCCATAAAAGTCAGAATACCGTAATTCAACAATCAGTGTGCTCTACCTCAGAAGGAATTGTAAGAGGAATATTAACTTCAAATTTCAACCTATTGTTTGAAAACAAGCACTTTCAGAATTGGCATCATGTAAAGTAGCAAAAAACGACAAAGGAAGTAGTTTTTCTCTCTCTCTTGGAGCAGTAAAAGAAAGTAGAACTGTGTCATGATATCCCCAAGAATCTCTCAACAGAATGTGCTTTTTTATGCAAAGGTCAGCATACATATATTAATGCTTCTATGTATCTTGCATGTTCATATTATACGTACAAGTTTAGTACTGGCATATAATTAAAGTTGGTACTTCATGATTACACGAATGAATATCCATCGGAACCTAGTAAAAAATAATACACAGTAAAAAAGAAGATGATACTAAAATTCAACCACACCTCAATAAAACTAACGAGTGCACTAGTATCTGATCCATTTGGATCTTTCAGGGTTGAAAGTGCTTCATAAATCATAGCATTGTACCTGAAAAGCAAAGTAATAGTGACAAAAACCATCAGATGCTAAAATAATCATTGACCATGAAGAAAGTACATTATGGGATAACTTTTGTTTTTCAGAAAGTACATCATAAGATATCTTGCACAAGTAGAAACGTATAAGTAGCAGAGACAAAAAGGTGGCTTACTTTGAGGCAGTTTTGCCGTCTAGTAAGCATTTTGAAGAGTCTTCCATGACAGTGTCTACTGATGCATCATGTGCAACAGGAGTGGAGGAAGCAGGAGTCTGTGCACTGGGCATTGGAGTAGCCGGAGCATCTGGATTAGCCTTCGCCTTTGGTGTCCGTGATTTTTCCCTCGGACCTTGTCCATTGGTCCCAACGATCAAGTTCCTCCACTTGTCCTGTGCAAGCAAACGAATACCACAATCAAATAATTTTACTGGACTTTCTTATGGCAACATCCAAGCCAACAAACTCAATTCTTTTTTTCGTTTTTGATACTGAGGTAGAACTACCTACATCCATAACAATCCAAGAAATGGGGACACATGTGATCAAGCTCAATTCCAAAACTGGGAAAAAAATGAAAAGGAGTTCGTTTAAACTATAATCTAACCAAGCCAAACACTCCTTAAGACTCTGTATCGACTCCAATTAACAAAAAAAAACACCAAATTTTATTGACAGATGAGATAGTTTCTACCGCAAATTAGTTTCAGCAATGTCAATTTACATCAATCAGACAGAAAAACATAGCAAATTATTGACGAATTGCAAACTGTTGAAGTATCCGTAGAGAAGGGGCGGGGTAGGTGAGGAGACCTTGAGATCAATGTTGGAGCGAGAGTATAGGAGATGGTTGAATTCGGGGTCCCTCTGGATGTTCTTCCACTTGCCGGTGCCGTGCTTCGCGACGCCGGCACGTAATGCTTCTTCTTCTTCCGATGTCCACTTCTGCTTTGGATTCCCCATCTCTCTCTCTCTCTCTCTATCAATCTATCTATCTATCTGAGTGATGACTGCTGCTTAAACCCTGGTCTTGTTGTATGCTGTGTTCGAACGTTCGATCATTCGCTTGGTTTTGTTTTAAGTTTTAGAACCCTAATTACAGGTAAATTCACTAAGCTCTGTTAATATTTATCGTAAGAATTAGAGAAAATTACTAATAAGTCCTATTTTACTTTCAAAAGAACTATTAACTACTATTATATTTATTTTTGAATAATTAAATTTTATTTTTGATAATTTATTCTCGAGAAGTCCTACAATCCATCAATAATATGTTTTCTTCCAATTTTATCCTTCTCATCAATACACCAATTATATTTTTACCAATAATATTTGTTAATAGGACCCAAAGCAAATTTTATTTTTAATTAATGCATAACACTTAAAATATATAATTAATAATAAAGATTTATGTTTCGTTTTGTACGATGAAAACGTTGGAGGATAAAAAATTGAAAAGATGGAAAATTGGAAGGATAAATAAAACATCATGTTTGGTAAGGAAGAAAAATAGGAAGGATGGAAAAGTGGATGAATTAACTTTCTTTCCAATTTACCAAAATCAATCCCTCCAAAATCGGAAGAAAAATAGATGAAAAGTTAATTATTTGTGTTGAGATGTATCTTATTTGTCTATATATCTTTTTATATAAAAATATGTTTGTGTGTATATATATATTAAAAAAATTTCAAAATTAATTTAAAAATTAATTAAAATTTTAAATTTTAATTTTTTTTTTTCATCTTAACTAAGGGTATAAATTTTCGACTCAACATGATGACACGACTCGAATTCGAAACGAAAATAAATAAGTCAACTCGCAACTTGACACGACACAATTAATTAAATGAGTTAAGTTAGATTTGACTAATATTCGACACAAATCCGTAATAACTCAACACTAATCTGACACGACACGACTCGATTGTCATTCTTAATCTTAGCCATCACAAAAAAAAAAAAAAAATCATTTCTATTTTTCATCCGTCCAACCAAATACAAAGGAAGGAAAATGTATCATTCCTACTTTCTATCCTTCAAAAATAGAAAAATGTATTCCTCCTACTTTTCATCCTTTTTACCAAACGGAGCATTATAAAAATGATAAATTACATAACTCTATTTTTTTATATTTAACTTTTTAAATAATATAAATTTCAACTCACTTGATTATTAAATTTAAATCATAAAAACATACAATTATATAAATTAACAATGTAAAAACTAGTATATGACTACAATCATTGAGAAAAATTCGTCTAATTATGTGTTTTTTTTTACTTTTCCTTCCAAATTTTGAAATAATTAAAAAAAAATATTTGAAGGCATAAAAAAATTCAAGTATTCAAACTTATAACAATATATTTAAGAGATAAAACAAATTTTTTTTATTTATGTAATGACTTTTACACTATGTAAAATGCACTCGCTTGTGAACTCCTATGGGTGGATGCTTTGATAATTAAAGTATAACTTATTTAGATTTTTAATTTAAAATAAATAATTATATTTCAATAAATATAATTGAATATAAAATTATAAACAAAAAAAATGTAATTTATGTTTGCATGTGAAGGATAAAATTGGAACAAAATTAACCATTAATAGAGTCTTAGATTTCTTGGGAATAAATTATCAAAAATAGTACTTGATTGTCCTGAAGTAAATATAATAAGATTTAATGATTATTTTGAAAGAAAAGTAAAACTTACTTGTGATTTGGATAATAATTATATATGTTATTTATAATGATGCAAAAAAATGTGTTTAATGGAGTAATAAGGGAGGACAACCAACACAAACAAACACACAATTTGAGTAGTTCAGTCTGGGTGTCTTTATTCCACCGTGAAGGGTTATGATTGTCTGAGTGTTTTATTTCTCAAGGGGTGTACAATCCTTAAATATGAATGATATATGAGAGATACCTCCTTTTATAGGTGTGACTTACAATTTATAGTCACCTCGTAACAAATTAATGCGCTAATTTTGTAATAGGAAATGTAGTTCGGTTGAGATGACGTCATTCTCGTAGCAGGCGAGACAATTTCGTAGAGGTGTCGAAGTGTGCATTCTATAGAGATTTTCTCGCATGTCAGTTGTGAATTGAGTCTCTCAAAATTGCGTGGGCTAACCTGACTCTCACAAGATAGCGCAACCAATCTAGTCTAACTTCTTTCACCTTGTGATGGCCTTGATCTATATTTGTGGTGGGCCTGATCAGCAATTATGAGCCTGACCTATATTTTTGAACAAGGCCCGGTCTGTAATTCTAGGCTAGACTCATCACTTTAAATATAAATAAGTTCAAAACTCCATGTATTACATAATTTACTCCAATTATATGTTTTCTTTGGTAAACCGAAACGCCAAATATAACTTTATTGATGATTTTTTTTTTAAAATCTTAGTTTATTTAATGGTGTATTTAGGAGATGGGTGAAAAAATATAAAAAAAAAAAAAAAGTGAAAGTGATATATTTTTTATCTTTCAAGGGAGAAATTCTTTTTTCCCCTATTTGGTAGGAATGATTAAAAATAGGAATAATTTTTTTTTTGTTAGTAGGATGAAAAAAATGAAAGAATAAAAAAAGTGTAGATACATACTTTATCATTATATCTATATATAAAATCAGTATATACATAATATGTAATAAATAAATATGATATATTTTGATATTCATATATTAAAGGATATATAGGTTAATAACATATATTTTAACATTGATAATTAACTTTTCATTAAATTTTTAATTATTTTTGGTGAATTGAAAGAAAAATTAATTCATCAATTTTTTTATCATTGATATTTTTTTTTCTCATTACTACACGTGATGTTTTATCTATCCCTTTAACTTTTGTCTTATAAAATAAAACATAAAATTCATCTAAGTAAATAAAAGAAACTTAATTATAATGTAATGACTTATGTAATGTTTAACGTATTATCTGAATTCTCAATTTTTATTTAATATGATGATCAAAAATGTTTTCTTTAAAAGAATGATTTTTCTTTCAAACATTGCAATAATCAAATAGATTACATCTGAAAGGGGAAGAAAGGGGGGGGGGGTAATCGCATTTTGTATCTCAAACGACTTTTTACATTTTATTCATAATGTTTTAAATTTATTTTAATGTGGCTTTGCCGTTAGCGTCTTTCGCTTATTCCGTCAAAAATTATTTGATTAACGCTGACGAAATAAACAACATAAACTAACGGCAAAATCATATTGCGACATTTTTAATATATTATGGGTGTAATTTGGGTAATTTAACCTTTAAGGGTCATTTTTTTTTTTTAAAATAAATTTGTGGGAATACAAAGTGAAATTCGCCTTACATTTAATATATTGAACAAATGCCTAAAGAATATTTAGGAAGAGTATATAATTTTATATTGTTTAAGATTTTAATTTTAATTTTAATTATGAAATTGTCATTTTATTTTATTTTTTGGAAGATGCAAGTATCATTTTATAAAAAATTATAAAATGAAAAAAAAGTGTTTATAAATTATCTTGAAAAAGTAAAATATAATTGTTATAATACAAATTTGATAGGATTTAATGATTTATTTATTGTATTCTAAATAATAATAAGAGATAAATAAACAAAAATTCATAATTTTATTCACTATCATGAATAGGGATGTCCATGGGCGGGGCCAAACTAGGCTCACAAATTTTTTTTCAAGTCAGGCTTAGGTAGTATAAGCTCAAACCCTTACTCAATTATTATCGAGCGGGCCGAGCAGAGCTTTGGATAGGGGTAGGCTATCCGCAACCCAACCTGTGAGCCTATTGGGCGGATTTGTTGGCGGGTTTTTTTATGTACAATTTCATTTAAAAATAATGAATATTTTTGTAACTTAATAATTGTATAAATTATATTTTTGAATAAAAAATAGAGTCAATAAAAATAAATAATGAATAATTTTATTTTTAATTAGGGAATGAATTACATCCATGAATACATTTCAACTAGATTAACACCTACTCACTTCTCTATCATTTGTATTATTATATCATTTAAAATTTGTATGTTTAATACATGAGAAATAAAATAATATATTATTTATAGTACTTAAATTTTTAAAACTTCAAATTCAGACATTAAGAGAATTATTTTAAAATTTTAAATTTAATAATCTAAAAATATAATTTTCTTTTTCAAATGAAGGATGGCGGGGCTATGTAGGCGGGTTGGATTTGATGGGCGAGTTATTGGGTGGGACAATAGGTTTGGGGACAAATTTAAACTCTCTTTTTAAAGATATTGAATTCAATCTCAAACGGACCAACTATCGTACCTATCAAATTTTGGCTTTATTTTTTTCGGACAGGTTAACCGGGGATCCGTGGTTAAGCCGGTATATTCAACAGAACGGCGGCGTTTGGAAACGCTTGTTCCAGATAAACCAACTTTTTCAAGCTTCCAGCAAATTATATTCTTCCACGTGGCACAATAGGGAATGACAGTTGAACACGTCATCAAGAAGTGCTCTTCCCTATCCGTTCCGAGAGAAGAGGAGAGTAAGAGACAAGCTGAAAGAACCCAAAACCAGAGACACAGAGGCGAGAGAGAGAGAGATTGAAGCTCGTCTAAACTGTTCGGTTCCTACCGTTACTCACTCTGCATTGTCTACTTTGAAGCCTCGAAGTAGATAAGGTTTTGAAGAAGAGTGAAACCAACAGTACTGGGAATGGAGTGTATTGGAGCTCGTAATTTGGCGGCAATGGCTGTTTCTACGTGCCCTACTTCGAGGTCAAGAAAGAAGAGACTGAGAAATAAACAAGCTATTCTGATAAATCCAAACAGTTCGTGTGTGTTGGCTTTGAAAATGAGGTGTAGCGCTGGAAGTGAGAGTTGTGTGGCCGTTAGAGAAGATTTCGCTGACGACGAAGATTATGTAAAGGCTGGTGGATCCGAGCTTTTGTTTGTTCAAATGCAGCAGAATAAGGCCATGGATAAACAGTCAAAACTTGCCGATAAGGTGAATTATTCTCCTTCCTTTACTTAATACGCTGACATATACTCGAAGTATGTGTTTTTATGTAGGAGTCAATTGCAAGGACATGATGCAGTTTGGTTATTTTAAGTTACATAGAGAAATGATTTTGGATAAAGATGTAATTGTTGAACGGTCCAAGATGTCGATATGTTTCTTACAGAGCGTGTCTCAACGAAAGAAATGCTTAGATTTCCGCTTATGCATTGCTGTAATTGTTGAATAAAACCAGATGATGGCTAGAATTGGAGTTTCTGGTGTTAAAATGTTTCATGTTTGTGTTAATTGGGATTTCTATAATTTTCTCTGCATCTCTCACTGAATTACTGCTCTTTTAAAGAGAATACTAATATGGGAGAACCTCATTATTACCCAATAGGTTTTTTCTCCTCAATGTTGTTGTGTTGTATTCTTGCATAAATCATGTCAAATTCAAAATTGCATATGCATTGAATTATAAAAATGTATGAAATAGTAGATTGCCACTAATCATCATATTCACAAACATTCTCATGTGCATCATGGTGCCTAGTTGCTAGTGGGCTGATGTGAGTACTTTGTAGCTGTTTGTTTCTCATGAGATCACATGATCTTGCAGCTGCCGCAAATATTGATCGGAGATAGCATACTGGATTTGGTGGTAATTGGTTGTGGCCCAGCTGGCCTTGCTCTTGCTGCAGAATCAGCGAAGCTAGGCTTAAATGTTGGACTTATTGGACCAGATCTTCCTTTTACAAACAATTATGGTGTGTGGGAGGATGAATTTAAAGGTATTGATCCCTATATGTTAAAGATTTCACTTTTGTTGGACCTGAATCAACCTTGGGACATGCAGAATATCATGGAACTTCTTCTGGTCATCCAGCCATTAGTCTGAAGCTTTACCCTGAAGCTTTACCTTCTTATTACATGATGTTGGATAACTGATCATCCTCTACCATAACTCCATTGTACTTCCCTCTACATCTAATGTGGAACTAAGTTTATATATGTATTTTCAGATCTTGGGCTTGAAAGGTGTATTGAGCACGTTTGGCCAGACACCATTGTATATCTTGATGACGGTGATCCCATTCTGATTGGTCGTGCATATGGACGAGTTAACCGTCATTTGCTTCATGAGGAGTTGTTGAAAAGGTGAGATTGGCTTAACTTTTTTCCAATATAATTTTATTTTGTTACTATTGTTACAATCATTTGTTATACTTTTGGTGCCAATGCCAACTCACCAGAATTTGTATTTATCTTATAGATTCATATTCATATTAATTTTTCTAGGTGTGTCGAGTCAGGTGTTTCATATCTTAGCTCCAAAGTGGAAAGGATTACTGAAGCACGAAATGGTCAGAGTCTCGTAGAATGTGAATGCAATGTTGTCATTCCCTGCAGGTACAATAGGGTATTTTTCGTTGGGATTGCCACTATTCTGAAATCACTAGATCTTGCTTCAAGCTTTTTACATGTTATTCTAGGCTTGCTACTGTTGCATCTGGAGCAGCATCAGGGAAACTCTTGCAGTATGAAGTAGGGGGTCCCAGGGTTTCTGTCCAAACAGCTTATGGATTGGAGGTCGAGGTAGTAATGGAAACTCAAAGGATTTATCATTCTAAAGTACCAAACTTCAAGCATTGAATATAAGTTTTATTGCATCACACAACAGTGGATGTATAACTATAGCTGTTTCCATCTAGGGTTGTAACAGATGAAAAAGGCCATCATACCGTATGAGTAAGCTGCAGTGAGTTGTATGGGCTCTACTTTCACAATTACCTTTTCACTATTTTTATTATACTTATTTGACTTCATTTTTTTGTCACATATGAATATACTCAGATTACTGAATTTGAACATAGATGGATGACTGCATCATGTTAAAAAGATGCATTACAGATGTGGATGAAAGTGTTGTATGTTCAGGATTGCAGCTATCATTTTGCATTCCTTTTAACCAATCTAAACTATTCAAATATTTGGTACTTGGCTGTGAATCTCGCAATTTGGCAACCTATGTCTTTTCACTTTTGGATTTATGATCCATGTGGTTGCAAGCGGGAAGGGAAAAAGGAAAAAGGAAAAAAATTGTTTGAAATGTTATGATTCTGGTTTTTTTACACCTGCATAATGTGATATGTTAAACTTCTCTGTTGCCCCTTAACTTTTTGGCAACAAAATGGAAGATTTAATAACTTCTTCGGATATTTCTGAAAATTTGTTGGAATATGCATATGTCATCATCTGCACTTATGTGCAGTTTTATTTCATGACTTCAGGTGGAAAACAATCCATATGACCCCAGCCTGATGGTTTTCATGGATTACAGAGACTACATCAAACAAAAAGTTCAATGTTTAGAAACACAATATCCAACATTTCTTTATGCAATGCCCATGTCCCCCACACAAGTCTTCTTTGAGGTTTGCTTAATGTATTTCTGTGTCGTGTTACGTTAACAGTTATAGTCATGGTTGTTGCATAGGTAAAAGTAAGTGCATTGCAGGAAACTTGTTTGGCTTCAATGGATGCCATGCCTTTTGATCTATTGAAGAAGAAACTAATGTCAAGATTAGAGACAATGGGAGTCCGCATAATGAAAACCTATGAAGAGGTAATCTTCTTATGTTGTTCGGAACTTCGATATAGAACCTACCGGAGTTGTTGTCTGTATAAAGAGAGAAAGCCATAATCTCTAAAACCTATGCAGGAATGGTCTTATATTCCAGTTGGTGGATCCTTACCAAATACAGAGCAGAAGAACCTTGCATTTGGTGCTGCTGCTAGCATGGTGCATCCTGCCACTGGTAAAACGAAATCAATTCCTTGCTTCCTTCAGTTGTTCAAATAAAAAGGTTCCTTATGTTTTTGAACTTTGTAAAACAGGTTATTCAGTAGTAAGATCATTGTCAGAGGCTCCAAACTATGCTTCCGTAATTGCAAATATTTTGAAACAAAGTCAGTCCAGGGGCATGCTTACTAGGAGTACAGGAAATGTCTCGATGCAAGGTACAATGACATCATTAGATGAAAAAGGCCTTCGTGTGATTGTCAATTGCTGCATTGCACTAAACTTTAGAATCAATTACAGTTACAGAAAGTAAAAGCATACTATTAGCCAATTGTAGATTAAAGCCTGCAAACTTTCCTGTGTCTTAGCTTCTTGTGCAAAATCCTTCAAGAATGTCAAGCATGGACCTGCATTTAGTCTCAAGATACTCCAATGATGCTAATCGCAACAGAAACTTGCTTTAATTTAATGACACACTTTGCTGCTTCAGTAAAGTATTTGAAATTCCCATTTTTCTGTTTTTAGCTTGGAACACTCTTTGGCCACAAGAAAGGAAACGCCAGAGGGCATTCTTTCTCTTTGGACTAGCGCTTATTTTGCAGCTGGACATCGAGGGGATAAGGACATTTTTTCATACTTTCTTCCGCTTACCAAAGTGGTATGAGCAGCACTTTTAATTCTTCCCTCAGTTGTGTTGCTGGCATTCTCTTTATGCTTTCTATAGGCAATGGTTTTTTCCAATGATATGGTATGCATGCATGTCTTTATATGTATGTGTACATAAACATTTGTATGCATCATGTGCATCAGTGACAGCAGAAGTTCATACTGGAGACATACAGAAGACATATGTTTCATTTTTTCTGTGCAAATCAACCTTTAAATTCTAGAAATCAACGTATTTAGATGGAATTTTGCTGCATAAAGTCTTTCAAGTAATCCCCCTGTTACAAAACTCACATTTATACACATGGTATATAAAAAATAACAAAAATGTCTGTCATAGATGAGTGACGTGCTGCTACTTCTTGCCTTCCGAAAAAAAGACATTTCGCTACTTCTCATCTACCCCCCCCCCAATTGCATGGATTGGTGCTCAAGCAAGGTCTTAGCTGACTCAACCTCCCAATTCTGATTTAAAAAACAAAGGAGCTCAAATTGCATCAATATTTGAGGAAGTCAGAATGCCTGGTACCATTTATTCCTCATCCTAGGCAAACCAATACAATTCTGGCCAATCTGTCTTAAATTTTTCTCTCCCCACATGACACTTATTACTCCATTCTCTACTAAAGAATGACCAACAAGCTTAGACAAGGAAGAAAACACTAAAAAAGTTGTAGAAAGTAGCCCAGGTTGAAGAATGAAATGAGGAATGGCTGAGCAAGTGGTACATGGAGTCAATATTAAATTTACAAGAGGTGCATCAATGTGTTATGTTCTGATTTCTTGAGAAAATTGTCAAGTATAGATCTTTTATTAGCAAACACCAACAAGAAGTTATTATGAATGGACATTTTCACACTAGCTTTCTTAGTAGGAAATCAAATTATCCATTTAGTCTGCTAAAATGTCATGATTGAATGCTACATACATATATATGATCAACCGGACTATATTCAATAGTCTTGGCTACTTGAGATTGGCTACCTGGATACTAACTATGATAAACTCCATAGGCATATTTAATGTGAAATATAATCCTTTTATCATACTAAGCAACATCATGTGGCTATATACCAGTGCATGCATTTGGTCTGCAATTGGAGTTATTTATCGGAATCATAAAATGCTTGAGGTGCATTGTAGCAGTTGCATCACACTTACCCGAGGGGAAAATGAGTGCTAGAAATGATAAAATAAACAAAGTGGGACATGAATAAGCTACTATATTTACATAATGTGGGAATGGAAGGAGGGTACGCAGGAGCAGCACTGTTACTAGTCAAATTACTGAAAACCCAAATTTGCTTTAGACTTCCTTGGTTTAGATTCCCAGACATTTAGGGGATCCTATTTGGATCATTGAGACACCCAGACTTGCTTAAGTGGCCCAATTTTTATAGTAGCCATGTACACTTGTAAACGGTAGCAACAAACTGGTTTATAATAACATGGTTTAAAGGTATGTGGGCTAGAATCACTTTAACCACCGTCGGTTAATAAATGGCATTTTCAATTGACTTGACTGCATGACTAAATAGATCGGCACAAGTTGTTAACAGAATGTTTCATGGTTGGCTTGCTTTGCAACTAGAACTGATTTTGTTGATGGACGTGTTACCTCACAGGATGTGGCAGGGATTTCTTGGCTCTACTCTCTCCTCAGCAGACCTCATGTTATTTGCCTTCTATATGTTTGTCATAGCACCCAATGACATGAGAAAGTGCCTTATTAGCCATCTTCTTTCTGATCCAACTGGAGCAACTATGATAAGAACATATCTCACAATATAGTCAATACCTTTTGTATCTCTTCTCTGTTGTGTTCTATTCAATATCTTGATTTTAGATTACACTATGAGCCCTACCGCCTTTGAACATTATGTATATACAACTTTTGTATTGGTTTAGTATCTGTTTGTTACATGTTCACAATTTTGTTTTCCTGCTGAACTTCAAGGTATTTTCATCGTGTACTTTCCGTTTAGAACTTATAGAATAATGATGATAAGCATTTTTTTCTTATTATCCACTCACTGTATTTCTTGCCGGGGGTGGGGGGGGGGGGGTGGAGAGGGAGAGAGAGAGAGAGAGAGTTTACAGGTGATGCAAGAGGACATTTGCGTTCAAATCATTGAAGAACAGATTTGCTGACTGGGATTAGGATGTTCCCAAGCATATTTGCCATTGCTCACTTCTTAAATACAGGTTTGATTAATTGGAAAACATTCCTCTTGTAGAAATGGAACAGAATTGTTTTTCTCTAGTATGCCACCACTTCATAATAAAACCCCACGAATGAGTCACAGATGGTCTTCCAACTTTGCAAATTCAATAGCTCAAATTCACAATCCTTAAAAGTGGTTCAGTGGTTGAGTCTGACATCAAAGATCTCAAGTTCAATTCCATCTCGCACCACCTAAGGACTAGTTACCTTTGTCCCTTTAGTAGGTGTTCAGTAGGGTCAAAGAAGCGAAGAGATGAAAATGAGGAATTGGGTGGTTCATTTTGGTCTAATTTCGTTTCTGTACCCCGGTCTCAATCCGACAACATACTATCTTAGACCTCTTTCGAGCTCGAGGAGTAGTCGATACAAGTTTGGGCACTGGACATCCTATAACAAACAAAAAAAAGAACAACTCAAATTCACAGTTGGGTTGGTATTGTAAGCTGGTGGGTGAAGATTGAACCAGGGTATTACATGTACAAAATCAAAATAAAATGCTAGAATTTAGCTGATAAAGGAATGAAACTTGTGATATAACTTTTACTCTTGATCTAGAATATATCTAAAAGATCCTTTCCTGGGGAAGAATCAATCAAGAACTCTATATATATGCTACAAGAGATTCACGACTCTATTGGTTTTGCAATGCTGTCTGGATTAAGAGTGACAAGAATAGTCTTGAGTTGAGTTCTAAGGAAACCACCAGTACATTGTTTTGCCATGTCGAAGATACCCTAGATTAGGGGTGAGGCTGTCTCAAAGTTTTAAAACTACATTTTAGGCTTAATAATTTAGATTAATTATACTTTAGATCTTTCTAAGTTGATCCCATCTTAAGAGCATTTTCAATCCGTACCCTTTTTCAAATCCAAATTTAAATTTGCATAAAAAACTTTTAAAAATATTTTCCAATGTTAGACCCATACTCATATCACATAAAGGAAGATTTTTTTTTTTACTCAAATCAAAAGAGATTTAAATTCACACTAAAATCTTTACAGGTCAGATTTTATCCTCTTTTAATGAATCAATAGTCATATTTTACATTATTTTAAATTTAGGATTGTCCTCACTAAATCTGAGTTTCTCCATTAGAGAGGTCTATATCAAATCAAGTCAAATTTGGGTAAATGCTTGAGTTCCCATTAGAGATGGTCTAAGTATGAACATTTCGATGATCACCTGCTGAATTTAAGAGAGTAGTCGGGCAGGTCGAGACACCCTCTTGAAAAAAAAAAAGTATGAACATTTTCAATTGAACCCTTTTAGAATCCTACAATTTAGCCGATGACCTCTCTCTTTGATTGGATGAAAGCGTCTACGCTCACTTTTACGTTAAATTATTGGACTACATTTATCTTCAAAACTAAAAGCAAAGGGCAGTATCTCCGGATTGTGATTTGGAGTTTCTTGGCTTATGTTTTAAGAGTAACAATACACAGAAATCGGGAACATTCTCTATCAAATAGTAAAGGAGGGAGGGGCTCATGGTCCCTAGTTTAATTCCCACCCCACCCCACACGAGAAAATTGAGTAATGCTATTGAGTTCTAAAAATTTGACTTAATTCTAATGATATGAGTTCATTGTAATAGTTGGATTAATGTCAAATTCTAATATTTGATGTGGCCTACAGTTAATTCAATGACTATAACAAATTAAGTCTCAATAACATTATTGTGAGAAAATTAGGATTTTCATTCTTGTAAAATGCCCCTTCTAATGAAAAAAAAAATCTTTTTTTCTTATTTTGTGGAATAAAATTTAGAGACCAAGTCAAAAAAAGAAGAAGAGAGAATCAGACTAGAAGCGCCCCCAAAACAACACAGACACAGAGGAGGATGATCATGGCATTGATTAATAGGGCATTATAGTTAAAAGCTGCATCTGCCAATATGCTTTGCTTTTTAGATTTCCTCAATTCAATCTGTGCTTCATGCGAGAATCAAATCCATCAACAGCACATTGATTATAATACTATAAACAGAGAATTTGGGAGAGGCATAACCTCATTCTACCCATGCTTTTTCTAGTGATTGTTGTGCAGAATTTTGAAGGTTCTTGTACAGTTTTTAGCCTTAAATTAATATAAAAGCATATATACTTCGTTCTACTTTATTCCACTGTAAATCTTCGAATGCCCAAAACAGAATTTTACTGTTTTTTTGTCCATCGCCCGTTGGTTGTTTTTCACATAAACAAAGACAAACATTTACTTTCGATTATTCTTCTTTAGTGTTTTGTTAAGCAAAATCAGCCATATCAGAAACTCGATGTTCCTTTATCCGAGATCATGATGACGTATGTCAAAGTAGAATAATCTACTTTCATTCGACAAAGTTTTGTTCCAACTATAATGGGCTATTCAATTATTTTTGAAGCGCGAGTCCATGGCTATGCCCTGGCCTTATGTATTGTCATAAAGCTCCCTGTTGTTAAAAGATAGTGTTTTTTCTTTTGTTCTGTATACACATGCAATGTAAGTTGCTTATGACGCTGAAAGGGTCGATTAATAATGAAAAACTTATCAATTCATCGTCAAAACTGGCAGAATGAACCCGCATGGGTTATTCAGTGGTCAAACAAGGTGTGAGGCATATATCTGCACTTCGATTAAATTTGAGTTCATCTGATCGCAACAAACTCGGATTAACCAATGTACATGTTAACTAACCGGTGGTGGAGTGCATAAAAAATTTGCAGTTCGACCATTAAATTAAAAAAGATGCGGTTGAGATGAATTATAATAACAAAAGTAAGAGAAAGAGATCTACATTTAAGTTTATCAAGAATTTCATTCGTAAATATTCAACTATATCTATTTGCTCTTCTAATTTATTGTTTGTGTTTAAAGATAGATATATTACTTCCGTCACATTGATGAAGACTACATGTGACAAAAGAACTATGGGGTGAGAGCTATTTCTGATAATCAAGAACTCGATTGGTTGAAAAATCTCTATGAACAAGCTAAGAGTAGGTCACTTCAAAGATAAAATTGAAACATCTAAAAGTTTAAGGACTAATGTACAAATCAAGGCGACCTTCGAAGGGTGAAAGAGGGATTATAATGAGTCCCGACTCACAAGTATAACTTCTTGGTTCATCATACACTTCCTTATATCTTGAATCTGCACATATCTTTCTCTCTACTAATCTACAATGAATCAGTCTTTTGAATATATTACATGTTCCAATGGCAACAAATTCTGCATTTGTTCTGAGATGATCATTGAAATTATCAACTAAAACAATAGACTTTGATTATACCTATATTTACAATCCGTCTAAGTAATATATATGTTACGAGTTCTAGTTCAAGAATCAGCATTATCAAAGTAAGAGTTAAAATTCTCTACTCGACCTCGTCATATATAAAAAATCTGAGTCTTGTCCACTAGACACGGTCTTTGTGTATATGTGTGTGTATGCAACCCATAGAATATTAGGGGACCACCTTCCATGTTTCTAGGAGAAATATCAAGGTTCCCAACTTTAGTCAAAATGAGAAAAATGGTAGCTTTTAAAGGGTTATGTTTTCATTGGTGAAGCTGGTTGGTTGCAAAACTCTGAACTTTTTGATTAGGGGCGAACCGAATCAGAAGAGAAGAAAATTTCAAACGAAGGAGGATAAATTGATTACTTCTTCTTTTTCAAGGCTTTATTGATCAACCAATTAACTCCTTAAACCACATATATTCCATGCATGAATGAAAAGGGACCAATGCCTTTTTGGTTCTATAAAGCTCCAACAACAGGGCCATCAGTTCTTCATACAAACAAAACCTAGCTAGCTAGCGAGCATTTGATAGTGGTGAGTTATTAGGGTTATCAGGTATTTTGAGGAAAGTGACAGAAGAGAGTGAGCACACATGTCTCCTGCATGGACTGTCAATGCTTGAAGCTCTTGTGTGCTCACTCTCTATCTGTCACATACCTCTCTCTCTCTCTCTCTCTCTCTCTCGACAGTTATGACCATGTTTTACTGTCCTTTTGATTCTTAGAGATAATCCACTTAGTCATTCCATTATCGGATCGATTAGAATTGATGAAGCATATATATAAACAAGAGGGTGGCATGCATGTGGTAGCTATCGTATAATATCATGAGATTTCATGCATTTTCTGCAGTTCAAATGAATTAATTTCTTCCCACTTGAACATTCTGTACCCCATCCTTATGCTAAAGGCTCTTTCCATGTTGATGGGCAAAGGACACACACACACGCACACACACAATCTTCTGAAGCTTAACCCAGCTTCAACTTACCCTCGTTGTGGCTTATACTTATTTGTCTTTGTTGGTATCAAAATTTATCCTGAGTTTTCTTTTTAGTGTGATCTACTCAAATATCTTGTTGATGCAGACGGGAACCATCAATTTTTCCGAACTTTCCATTTTTGGAATGGAAGCCGGGGCACAAAATGCCAAAAGGACAAATTAGAGCAGTATTGATGGGCTATTTCTGTGACTCGAACATATGAAGATCAAATCAGAAATTAACTTTTTTTTTTTTTTTGTGTTAAGAGTGCTAATTAAGACATAAAAAAGTTACATTAAAGATGTCTCTTTGGTTTTGCTGTTTTATCCATGGTGGTTTTACAGGAAAATATGATGTGACCATTTCTCGTCATTAGAGTTTGTTGTCATTTTCCCAATTATGGATTTTATAAGTTTTATGAAACCAGATCAACCCTAATGGCTTCAACGAGTGTAATACATTGGAATGACACGATCCGAACACAACACAACATGACTCGATTGCCACCCTACCCTTAAGCTTCTATTACTTTGGGTTAATCTTTGAAATGAAAGAACATTTTGCATCTTGAAAATCTGAAGCAAAACAGAAAAAGAGTACTCCCAGAAACTTCTTAAAATTCAAGTAGCTCCATATCAGTGTATTTAGTTTTTTTTTGACTTAGATTTGTCAGACTACCTATTACTCAAAAACTTTGAGCTGTTAGAGAATTTGAATTAGTCCAATATGTTCATCAAGCTCTCAACAACATCGAAAACTTTGGGTGAAACTCGAGCAGATTGTGTGGATTGAAAAATCACACACGCTAAACCCAATTTATAAAATTCTGAATTCAACCCAAGCACAAGTCTAATTACAAGAACTTGTCAATCTGCGCATTGTCCACGCTGGAGTTTTTAAGCTGTGGTTACATGATTCGGGTTTGAAATTCAAGTTCAATTCTTGATTTAAATTTTGTGTTGAAATCAAGTTTGATTCTAGGGTTACACAACCTGATCTGAGCTAAAACTTGTATTCAATTCTTGTTGATCTCAAATTCGTTAATTTGGTTTGGGTCCATAAACCTGAAACTCCATACAAATGCTGCCCAAATCTAAACTAGGTTGAGGTTTTTCTTGTCCAAGCCCAGCTGGAAATTGAAAATCTATGCCCAAAGTAATGAATATTTGAGATGGATTTCAAATTCATTCCCAAGTTGCAAACCTATATGGACAAGTCAATCAAAGCATAATACAAAGACCCCCAAATAACTCGATACCTAAGTCTGTTTGGAAACATCTTGTTATTCCTAAGAGTGTAATAACTTGAAGCACTTGCACTCGACTTGTTAATTTGCAAAGAGCGCTTCGGATCAGTTTAACATCTTGAGTTCTAAACAACATTTTCAAGTTTGACCCATTAATTTTTTTTAAACTTAGGCTTGGTTCGATCGGTTTAAACGAACCAAGCTCGAAATTATATTCATGTTTATGAAGCACATATACATGCACAATATGTTACGAATGCAGTAATAAGGAAAAAACCTAAAAAATATGATAAGGATATGACTAAGATATATATATATATATATATTTGTAGAATTTTATTGTGATACCAAGGAAATGAGGGATTAAGAGATAAAATGTTGACCCGATATTTTGTTAAACATAATTTTGATGATTACAAACACCCGAATGCGTTGGGCCAACTAAAACGATTTATGTTGCTTGTATAGGGAAGGCTTTATAGTGTGTTAAATCTAATATTCTATATAATTCTAATGTTGAATATGTATTAACCTTCGAGGGTTTTCAATTTTTATTTAGCATTTAATTGCAATATACTTCTTTTACTTTAACATAAGTTATAAAAATTCATTACTCAGGTCAAACAAATTTGAAGAGAATTGACAAATCCTACGATATAATGTAATGTCCATCCAAATGAATATCTTGGAATAAAAAATTCTCATTCATACGATTCATGATTACTGCACAATCCACGTTAATAAGTATAAGACGAATATAATTACCGTGGAGATAAGTAGGGGCAACTTAAGACAGTAAGAGATTTAAAACAATATCTCCAAATAAGGTCTTTCTATTTTTAATATAACAATTTGGTATTTAAAATTAATTTTTCTTGCTTTTTAAGTTGCAAAATTACTAATTAATTTTTTATAGTCAAGGTTTGGGAACAAATCTTTTCAATTTAGTATTTTAATTGTAGTAATTTTTTTTTATTTGTAAAATTTCTTTTAAAACTTAGTTCTTAAAATAAATCTAAACCATCAATATTAGAAAAATACTCATGTTTCAAGAAACATTCGAGATTAAGACAATATTGTTTTAAACTATTGTTGTTTAATAATTTTAATTTTTCTCAGTTAAATAAAAAAATCAAAAGAAAGTTTGTAAATTTGAAATTGTTCAGATGTTTTCTTTAATAAAGAAATAGCTTGATCAAATGCATATTTAAAATAATAAATTCTAAAATTTTATTTGTCTTATGGTTGGGCCAACCCTAGAGATACGCATAGTGTATTTGACAAATATGTAAAACTAATAAATATTTTATTAATTATTCAACATGTAACTTGGAGTAACCAACGAGCATTAATATTCAATACGTATCAAATACAAATATTTTATTTCGATCAAAATATGCGTGTTTCATAGATTTTCAAACTTATACCGAATTATTCATGCCCCAATACAACTTTTTTAACAATTGGAAAAATGGAAAAACAGAACTCGATACAAAAATATAGAACTATTTGAAAAAAAAAGTGCACTACACAATTTTTTTTTGGACAAAAGTACTTTTATTTGGAAAAAGACGAAAAAGTCATCTATTAAAAGCACCACTTGCAAAGCCTAGTTTTTTTTGGAAATTATTCGTATTTTCTATCACATTAAACACAACTCTGACGGACAGGAATGAAAAAATCGACAATTTTCTTCTTATTTATTCGTCGGTTTTTGAAATTCGAAAACACTATACCGATTGTCCATATTTGTAAAAAAATTGGATTTGCTATCTATATAGAATACCAAATTGATAATTTTTTGGACGAGGAAGATCACCCCAAAAAATCTCCATGCGAGTTTGGGTTTCACATTCTCACCATCGTCGGAATAATCTGCGCCAAATAGTAATATCAACAATTGTATGATGTATCTCTTTAGTGTCACTCTTCAGTAAAACTGTTTAGTGTATCTCATTGTTGTATCTCTTTGGTATAAATGGATGATACAACTGTATGATTTTACCTTTGGTGTAACTTTTTGTTCTATTTTTTTGGTGTATCTCGTTGGTATAATTGGATGGTAAAACTCTTCAGTATATCTCGTCGTCACATTTTTTTGATGTCACTGGATGGTGAATAGGTGGTTTAACTCTTTCTTTGGTGTGATTAAGTGGTTTAACTCTTTGGTATGACTTGTCGATGTAGTTCTTTGGTATATTTCTTTTGTGTGTTTTTTTGGTTTATCTCTTTTGGAGTATCAATACAATGACATTTAAGAATGTTGACTTCAAAGAGAGAGAATATATGAAGAAAGAGTAACGGTGCCTTGAATGTGTAGGGAAGAAAGAAAGAGTTTAAGAGAAAGAATAAGAATAAATTTTCAAAATTCAAACAAATGATAAAATCTAATCAAATATTACATATTTGATTAGAAAATAAACTATCAATTAGTTATGTATTATTTAAGAAAGAGTAATTAAATAATACACGAAAAAGATCAATTGAAGTTTATGTATAATTGAACTTAATAAAGTTTTGATTAAAAAAAAAACTTAATAAAGGAAAAAATTTACCAATACAGTTTCACTATAAATAAGTCTTTCAAAATGTACCCACCCCCAGCCAATCTTTCTATTTTATTTAGTTAAAAAAAAAATCCAAAAAGAACTGGACTGCACGGCGGAATGAGAGGGCTGCCAATCTTATTCTCTCACTTTGGGCCTTCCCAAAAGAGCTGGACTGGCCCAGTTGTCTAGAATACATCTGGACCGGTAATCTATCTATAACACCTGGGACCCACAAGTAGGGCCGAAAGCTTTAAATGGACTCTCAAGTCTCGAGTCTCATCTGAAACCCATCGTCCATTTCCCAAAATACAAGTCAAACTGACTTTCTAAAGGCTTTCTCTCTCGCTCTCGCTCCATTGAGCTTCAGTAACAGATCGTGTACGCATATCCATATAGACATGAGTGTCGACAGGGACATTGCTCCGGCGGAAATCACGACGTTGGCGGTGGCCGTGAAGAGCATCGGAGGCAAAGGGAGCCGGCGAGCTGTTCGGTGGGCGGTGGAGAAACTAATGCCAAGAGCCGATCGTTTCGTTCTAATTCACGTCATCCCCACCATCACTTCAATCCCAACTCCATGTAATTTTCTATCTTGTATACACACACACCTACCTGTACGGACGCGTAATGTCGTAGATGTGTTGTCTCAGTTTATGGCAAAATTTGAGCGGTTCTTTTTGTTAGCAATTAAACAGTGGAAAATGTACTAGAATTTGTGTTTGTTGTTATAATTATTGGGTTTCAAATTCTCCATGGTTTGCCTGTATTGAAACACGGTTTATCCACTGTTTGTTAATTCGTTTTTATAATTTTACGGAGGAAGTGTTTCCTTGTTTGGTTACTGGAATTTGGGCTGCTTTTGGTTTCCCAAGATTGATTCTTCTTTTAAAAAAACACTTTTTACCAATACAATCTTTGTATCTGAACTGCCTAAAGCTATATTTGCCACTTGTGAGGATGTGAAAAAGTGCTTTTGAACTATGATTTTCTATCCGCAAGATAGGAACTACACTCAATTATGTTTTAAAAGGTATTTAGCCCATGGATCAAAATTTTGTTTCGGTGAATTGTTAAGGTCGCCTAAGACACAGAAACATTTCTATCCGTTTCGGAAATATAATGAAAAAAATAAAAAATTTAAAAATTATTTTTTTTAAATATTGGTCAAAATATATCAAAATATTTATATTTTGAAATAATTGTGCAAATACATTGAAATATAACAACATTTCAAAACATTATAGAACACCACGAACTATTAGAATTTTGATTATATCACTGATTCGTTATGATCTCCTTGAAAACAAAAATGTTTCAAACGTTTTGACTGTTTTAAAACGATATTTTGATCATTGAAAGCTTTCACAAACTTCATAAAACGGTAGAGATTATCTATCTGGGGCAGTAAATGGCCTCAGTAAAGAAAAAATAAAATATACGTTATTTGTTGTGTCTTATTGATGTTAGTTTTGATTATATGAGAAGACTTTTCTTTGGTTTCAATAATAAGCTCAGTGTCCATTATTAAATTGTTACTGAGTTTTTAGTCATTGGTTTCACTTACTGCTGAATCATGCTACTCTGTCTGACTCGGCATGTCCCTATATGACCAATATGTGTTCATCAGCGGGAGATTATATCCCTGTTGAGGATTTGGATGCAAATGTCGTGGCAATGTATGTGCAGGACATGAAAGCAAAGTTTGAAGAGATTTTTATACCATTCAAGAGACTAAGCAAAACACGAAAGGTGCATAAGTTCTTCCTTTTGAGCCTAATTTCTGAACAAATTGTGTTAGTCTTGAACCATAATTTTATGTTTGAACTTATTGTAGATGGAAACCTTAGTACTGGAAGGGGAGAATCCTGCGTTGGCACTTGTAAATTACATATCTAATTTGGAGATGAGAAGTGGTTTAGTGTTGGGCTCTTGCTCTTCTTGTTGCGTTACGAGGTATAATATCATTAATGTCAAGGCAAACAATAAATGTCTTTTATTTGTTGCTCGTCATCCTCCTAGTTGTGTTCTATGTTCCCAAGTTGTTCTTCTCATAAGTGTGTTATGTGTGTGACTATGCTACATAGTGGACTGTTGCAACAGTCCAAAGTTGAAATAGGATGCGTCGCGTTGTTATTATCTTCCTACTACGTTGCTTCTACATTGATGCAAAGAAATATGATCTTATATCTTTCTACTATGTTGTTTCTATATTGATGGTAAGAATTCAAGTTGTTCTTCCAATATGCGGTTTTTCATTTTTTGATAATTGTGATCTTTTAGCTGTAACACTGGTGAAACTTCTTCTGGACATGTTTAAAGTTCATTCATGTGTTAAAGAAATCTGCCACCTATTCAAAGTTTCCTTTGCTTCTTTCAGGAAACTTAAAGGACCTGGTGTACCAGAAATTGTTTTAAAATATGTCCCTGATACATGCGATGTTTACGTGGTGTCGAAACGTAGGCTTATCACAAATTCAGCCAACCCCATGGTTGCTGGAGGTATGTAGAAACACTTTCATTTCTAAAGGAACAGCTTCTCCTTAATTGTGTGTTTGAAGGCTTTTTTGCTCCCTTTGCTTCACAGACAGAAGCTCTAGACACTGGTTGTTTACAGAAAGGGGACGTGTTTCTCATAGAATTAGTAAACTACAATCTGGCATTCATTCTTTCTCCACAGATTGCGAAGTCCACAAGACGTTTGGAGCATCATCAATGCTGGATCATAGCTACCCAAATTCTCAAGCTTTCACGCATGAGAGCTTTTCTATTCATTCCACAACTCCTCGGGAAGGAAATCATCAAAACATTGTAGATAGTGTTTCCGAAATTCAGGCATTAGAGGGATGCCCTTCTCTTTCTTCTGCATGCACAGAACAGGTGAATACATAATTAGCTTTCTGTCTGTGGGTGAATATTCTCATGTCAATGCTAAATCTATTTCCAAGTTGAACCTCTTGTGGAAGACATTATATCCAGATGTATGAAAAAGGAGAAGTCAGAGCTAACATTTTAGGTTGCAAATCTTTGTGCAGTCAGATGTGCAGGCTGAAGTGGAAAAACTGCGTCTAGAATTGCAGAATACTGTTGCCATGTACAATCTAGCTTGTGAAGACTTAGTCCATGCCCAACACAAGGTGAGAGCTTGACAAATTTAAAATGTCTGTATAATGAACAGTTTAAACCTTTAAAGGTATTTTTAACCTATTTCAAACCATTGAAACTTTTTATATTCTTGGAATTTTGATCAAGATAGATCTCATCCTATACAAAAATTTAAACTCAGAGAAGAGGCGATTTATCATGGTTTATTGTTATATTAAGCAATTTTTCAGAAAAGTTCAGAGTTTCTGATGGCAAGGTAGTGGGGTCCTATCAGACAATCTTGGAGAATAAGTAACTATATCTATAATGGCTCTGAGCACAAATGAAATTTGATGTCTCATCTTTTGACGTTTATATATTTTTCCACCTAGCCTTGGCCTCAATCATCAATACTCGCAGGTCCACTTGCTTTCTTCCGAATGCCTTGAAGAATCAAAAAGAGTGAATGCAGCCATGAAAAGAGAAGAAACTTCTAGGAAAATTGCTGCTGAAGAGAAAGAGAAGCATTTGGAAGCCTTGAAGGAGGTTGATATGGCAAGAAATTTGCTTGCTAAGGAGGCTTATGAAAGGCAGATAGCAGAACTGAAGGCCCTCAAAGAGTCCTTGGAGAAACAAAAAGTTGTTGATGCACTCTTCTTGAGTGACAAAAGATACAGAAGGTACACTAGGGAGGAAATAGAGGTTGCAACTGATTTATTCTCAGAAACAAAGATGATTGGTGAAGGAGCATATGGGAAAGTTTACAAATGCAACCTTGATCACACCCCTGTAGCTGTCAAAGTTCTTCATCCTGATGCATCTGACAAGAAAGAGGAATTTCTAAGAGAGGTTTCAATTTCACTTGTTACCTTTTTTCCTCATCTTCACTTGTTACCAGAATGATTTATGAAGTTTCTTCTAAAATGTGGGGTTTCAGTGCATTTGCAATGTGCACATAACTCAATTTAGCATCTATAATTATGTGCAGTCATGATATTTCTTCTCTTCTCTCTCTATCTCTCTCCCCTCTCTCTCATGCACACACATTGAGGGCCCGCGTGCACGCGATGTTGATTTGTATTGTGATCATTGGCACCTAAAAAAATTCTTACTGGTAATGCCAAGCTTATGAATTCTTGATTTTTGTTTGATATCCATTTCCTTTTTCGCCAAGTTAAGTTATTTACAATACCAACTATTTCTGTTTTTAATTTATTCGCTCAAATCATGACATTTCGACTGGCTGCCACTCCTGCTGTCTTTTTTACAGGTTGAAGTTCTAAGCCAACTTCGTCATCCACACATGGTTTTACTACTTGGAGCCTGCCCAGATGGTGGTTGCCTGGTTTATGAATACATGGAAAATGGAAGCCTGGAGGATCATATTTTCTGCAAGAACGGCAGACCTCCTCTTCCTTGGTTTGTTCGTTTCCGTGTAGTTTTCGAGGTAGGATGTGGACTTGCATTCTTGCACAACTCAAGGCCCGAGCCTATTATTCATCGGGACCTAAAACCCGGAAATATCTTGCTAGATAGAAATTATGTGAGCAAAATTGGAGATGTGGGGATGGCAAAACTCGTTTCAGACATTGTGCCTGACAACATTACAGAATACAGAGACTCTATTCTTGCCGGTACCCTTTACTACATGGATCCAGAATATCAAAGAACTGGGACTGTCCGACCCAAATCAGATCTTTATGCTTTTGGAATTATAATACTCCAATTGTTGGCTGCTCGTCATCCAAATGGGCTTTTATTGACAGTTGAAAATGCTATTGCGAGCAGTTCTTTCTCAAATGTTCTGGATAAGTCAGTTACAGGTTGGCCACTTGCCGAAGCAGAGGAACTAGCTCAGTTGGCACTGAAATGCACCAGGCTTAGGTGCAGAGATAGGCCAGATCTCGAAACTGAAGTTCTGCCAGTTTTGAAAAAACTTGCTGAGTTTGCAGGCACGAGTATGAAGGCAGATAGAAACAACTTGGATGCACCTAGCCACTACTACTGCCCCGTCCTTCAGGTAAAACTCCATAAAATAACTGCAAGATTCTCTACATCATTTTTTTTTAGGCAATATGTAGAAGGGAAAAGTGGCATTCATCTCATCCTGGTTTTCTATGTGCATCTTGCAATGCCTATTGCAGGAAGTAATGGATGAACCACAAATTGCAGCTGATGGTTTTACATATGAGCATAGAGCCATAAAAATATGGCTCGAGAGACACAACGTGTCGCCAGTTACAAAGCTTAAGCTGCAGCATAAGACGCTTACTCCAAACCACACCTTACGTTCTGCCATACAAGAGTGGAGGTCCCGTTTGACATCTGGGAAGCCTAAATAGAAATAAATGGTTGCCGACTATTTTTATTCCACAATTTCCATTTTGCCAATAATTGTAATTTATGATGTATTCTGGCAGTCTCCAATGATCAAATGATATTGTGGACTGTCTGCAATTGTATAGCAACGATTTGACTCGATTAAAATCTTGTAATAATGATGCTTTTGTTATGGAAGTTTATGAAGTCAAAGGATTATTTGGAAGATCAGTTTGATAATGCTGGACAAGCAGCCCTAGCTGATGCGTATACATGGCGAAAATTTAGGCCACAGACACGTTTGGTAATATGATACTATAGTATCTTAGTCACAATTGTTGTAGCCGTAACGCTTTTTGGTAATATGATACTATTGTATCTTAGTCACAATGTTGTAGCCGTAACGCTATTTGGTATATGATACTGTTGTACCTTAGTCACAATTGTTGTAGCCGTAACACTATAAAATAACTCGTAGGACAGTCTATTTTATAAGTCTCTCTATATTTTGTTAGTTTCATAATAAATTTAGTATGACTTTGTAGGTTTTTTTATTGGCTCAGGTTTTTCCATGTAAATTTGCGTCTTACCCAAATAGAGGTTTCTTGTCAAAGCACTCTATCTCTGTTAGGCAAATGTCAAATTTCGTTTTCAATGTATTATTTTGATCACCTAGAAAACACAAATGTACCGACCTATTTCGAAAACAGAATAAAAAAAAAAAAATATTTAAGAATTATTTTTCAAAATATTAGTTGAAATATGCTAAAATATCTTGAAATACCTTAAAATATTTCAAAACAATTATGTAAATGCATTGAAATGTAATTAAACATTTTCAAAATATTATGAAACATCTCGAGATATTAGAATTTCGATTCATCACTAATTCAGTTCAATCTCCTTGGAAACAGAAACGTTTCGAAAAACATGGCATGTTCAATCTATCAATTTCACTTCTTCTCATTACATGTTTCCATACTACAAATTTACATAATGAGCAGATTCATCAATAGTCATATAAAACCATGATCTTATTAGACATTTACACTGATATATGTATATTGTTTGCTGCCTTGACAAATGTAAACCTACCAATACATTCAGCCATCAACTTGCGTAAATTCGAGTGCATTAGCATCCGGGTCCCGCGTGAAGATTGCTGGCCTCCCAGAGCGGCTAAGGGTGTAAGGAATACCTGTTAAACACCACACCACAACACAATAAGAAATCAAAATTCCCTTCTACAAACTGCAGAATCATCCAGCAGTTTTCGGATAAAGAATGAGGATGAAAATGAAGAACAGAAAATTACCAACTCCATCCAGGATTGCCTTTAGCTTAGAAACATCCCGAATAGCAATACAAGTATGACGATCTCGGCCCCCATGATTGGGCCGACCGGTTAAGGGGTCAGGATTTGGAAGCTCCATCAAATGAATCATCTCAGAACCCACCCACAGCCAAGCACCCCTATAAGGGAGCTTATCATGTGGTCGTGCCTCATTTATTGTAAGACCTTATAACAGGTTGAGAGTTAGAATTTTTTTTCTGTGAAGTAAAGAATAGTATGTCAACTAAATAGCAGAAAGGTAACATACCTAGAACATTCTGGTAGAAATCAAGTGACCTTTCAAGGTTTTCGCATAATATACCCACATGGTGGATGCTAACAACTCCAAAATCTGCATCAATATCGGATATTTTTAGATGATGTATTTTATTACTACTAGTCATACTAGGCGTGCCTGGATGGCAATGTGCAGTAGAAACTGATATCAAACTCTTTGTAAGTGGTGACTATATCGTATGACCTAATCACTGGGTTCATTTGTTTTTCATTTGGAAAGGGTGAAAACCAATTTCTGTGGTGTTGTGCTTGGCATGGACCCTACCTGATTAAGAGAAGCTACAAGTCAGAGGGGAACTACCAAGAAATCACAAGCAACCAACCCACATAGTTGAGGTAAAGTTTTGTTGAGCCGAATTGAGTGCTAAACTCCCAACATGCTAATTATAAGGAGGCCTCTGGTTTGCTTGGGAATGATCTCCAGTGATAGAAATTCAGATTAGAAAAATGCAAACTTTCCAGTTTAGCAATTGACAAAATAATATTGATTCTTTACAGATCTAGATATATATCTCTCAAGCACACTCGCATTAACTCTATCGAAGCCATATACAACCCTAGCATAGAAATACAGTATTACACCCCACAAGAAAAGCAACAAGAAAAGAAAAAGTGGGGGGGGGGGGGTTCACTAAATGCCTTAGACAGTAGGTTCATGGACCTGCAGCCAAGGTCACCACCAAGGACAAGGGTAATTAATCTGTCAATATTCTAAATCAGCAAATTACATATGCAACAGGGACATCACACACTGTTGGACCCACCAGTGCTGGGTGCTTGGAGGGATGGCCTGGTATTAAACCTATGAAATGCACAAAGCAACTACTTTAGAATCGAACCCACATTCTCACACTTCTACTTTGATACTTGTTTTGGTTTTGCAATTAATTTAAGATTGAATACCTCATACGGAACATGTTACAAAAACAGCAGGTCAGCTGGGATTATGTTGCATAAAAAGGCAATAGAATCATTGTTCGTTCAAAATGCTTCTCCATTCTTGACCTTCAAATTAGAATCCCGAACAATGGCCAAATCTCATGCATTACATATGGAACCTCCAGAAATCCAACAATGTGGGTTGGATTGCAAAAAATGTATCTCTCTATTAAGTGGTTTGAAACTTATTTATGATAACAACTTCATTAGACATAGACGCAAAATCCATTTGACCCTATTTATTGTCATTCCAAAGTCAAACCAGGGTTCAGTTTTCTCTTTGTATGGAAAAGATTAGACCATGACATTATTCTTGTAGGCGTGCCACATTTTAGGTAAAAATTGGAATAATATGACACAAACACATGTAGGCTTGCAGCGAATAGTTCTAGACTTTAATGATTTAGCATATTTCCTCACTTGTGAAAGAATTCAGAATGACTATGCAGGAGCAGAAGACAATGTTATTAGCATCATCTTATAGATAACTTTTGTATTTGAGGTACAATGATGGCTCTAGACTATTCATGGGGGAAGGGGGAAATGATCCCCTTCGTGGCCAACGAGACTCTACCCAAAGTTGACCTGAGGGTGGAAAGCTCCCGAACCACTCGTGCTAACCAACTTTACTCATCTGATAAACATCTTTAACAGCAGGGGAAAAAACAATGATGTCCCTACCGCGCTACCTAATAATGGTGTTCATGTTCATTAATAGTTTTGTTTTTTGGTAACAGGTGCTTATTTATAGTTTCACTGAGCAGAATCTTAGGATATACTATTTTGTTTGTTCATCTTCCAAAAATTTAGTGAAGAAAGTCATCGAGAAGAGAAACTGAGAAGGAAGAATTACCCTTTTGGTTGTCGACAGATTCAACACTAACAGAGTCTTTCTCCAGTATATCGGCTTCTATAGATGTCTTAGCTTTTGTCAGAAAATGATACACAGGGCAACTACCAAATCTGAAAACAGGATGGCTATTTCTGGTTGATTGTGTATTTGTAGATATGGCTCCAACACTACCATGATTCACCTGAGAAAATAAAAGACTCATAAATCTTCCCCTGAAAAGGTAAGTAAATAAATGAAGACAAGTAACAACTAAAATCTAAACGGCCATCAAAAGCAGCAAAGGTTGTAGATAGGACTGTTTGCGTTAAGAGACTTAAATTAATATGAAAAATACATACAGCTCAAGAAAAACAGAACAAACAATTGCAGTGTCCTATCGAAAGCATTCCCATTTACTGCTAAACAACACATCAAGTCACCCTAAAGAACATCATTTTCATAACACTGCATGAATTGAAGGAGAAACAATCAAAGCTTCTATGCATTTCTTCTCATCACTTTTTTTTCCTCATTTGTGGGTTCTCCTTTTACTTTTCTAAATAGTCTCACAGCACTGATAGTTTGATTAACTGTCCTGATTCCTACCCATCACCGATGAAATCCACATCATTTTTTGATTTAGTAAGCCAAACCAAAGAGGGCCTTGAAGGGAGACAGAGAAAGGAGAATACCCATTCACTCCCTAACGATTGCACATGGCAGCCCCTCTAAAGCAAACAATGGGCTACTTCTGCCAAAAGAGAAAGGATTCATGTTGAGATTTTGTTTCTTAGACTTTACACTTAATTGAAATTGCTTTATCTAATAAGGGTCGGGTCTGAAAAACAGTTTAAGGTACCAGCTTGCAGTTTGCATCGACATTCTTAAGACTCTGAAATTAGTGACCTAATTGACTCAATATCTTCTCCGCGTTTCATCTCACTCACTTTCTTCTCGTTCCTAGTGTTACATTAAAACCGAATTGCATTTCTTCAAAACAGGATGAGATACAAGCTCACAATTGAATGATCAATAACCAGTTCACTTCACCATCCGTTTATACTTATTTCCAACTGTGGCACTCTATTTCAGAAACAATTAAAGATTTCTTGACATGTTGAACTTTTAGTAACAAGCACTAAGTAATCCATATTTGTTTTCAAGACTCTTTAAATCAATAAATAGTAATCAGCTCTTTAAATTTATAAAATAATACTCTAGCCACCTATGAGATCTTATAAATCGATCCCAAAAGTTCATTTCTTTTGTCTCATCTGATTGTCAAAGAACCTAAACCAAGTCTTTAGAAAAAATTGTTTCCATTCTCAATTTTTTTTTCATCACCTTGTCCTTTATTGCTAAATATTACTGAACAAAATAGTCACAAAACTGAATTTCAAGACTATGTTCTTCTTATTTTTTTTAAAGTCTTTCTCTCAAAAACATGAATTCTCTGAAACCCAACACAGTAAAATGCTGCACCAAATCACAAATCAACCAACATTGGTAAAAAGGAGAAGTTCATACACATCAATACCGATTCGATCCGAGCTCTCTTATTATATATTTGTTTATATTTATACATGGAATTGTTGATGCTCCCATAGCATTTGATAGTGAAAGAAATGAATTTTACCTTGTTGTGAGGATGAAGAGTGAGAGGTGGACTCAGTAAGGAAGCCATGGAGGAGCAGCCACTCATCTGTAATTCATTTGCTTTGCTCTCTTTGCTCTTCGGTTTTATTTTTGGTTGCCAGTGAAAAAACGCCAAAACACCTGTTGACCGGTTCCCTCAGAGTTGGTGGCTCACAATTCTAATAGCATGAGATCCACTAATTGATGTGGGGGCAAATCTATAAATATGAAAAAGAAGATAGGGGGATTAGGAATTAAGAAAAACTAAAGGGCATGCTCGACTCTAGTGATGATAATAGAACTCGGCTCGTTCAAAAATGAGTCTTATATAAACAAATTTTTAAGCAACAGACTCTGCTCGACTCATTTTGGACTCGTTTTTTAACTAGTTAAATTTGAACAATTATTTAGATAAAAAACTCAACTCGATTCATTTACGTGTAAAAACTCATATTCGACTTGTTAACTTAAACAAAATTTTAGGCTCTTTAACGAAAAAAAAACTTGACAAGCTTGACTCGAACTCAGTTGAGCTCGGCCAATTATTAGTCCTAACTATAATGCATAAGAAAAAAGTTACCTCCAAACTCCTATTTCCCAAATTTTTTTAACAGTAAAATTAATCTAACGGCTAATATTAATACTCTAAATTTAATAGGAAAAATAGATCCCTAAGAGTGTGTTTGGAGTGACTTTTTAAAAATACTTTTAAAAATTATTTCTCATAAATACTTAAAAAAAAAAAGTGTTTGAAACCATCTCACCACTGCCATTGTCACCACCACCATCGCCATCCCCCCCCCCACCACTCGTCATCGCTGTCACCACCGCTACCGCAACCACCATTGTCGTCACCGTTACCACCACCACCATCATCGCCACCACGATCATTATCACCCACCACAACTAACAAATAATTATTACAAACAATAACTAGTATATATATATATATATAACTCATATGTTGTGATTTAGAATTGCAATTGGAATTTAAATGATTCTCTAATACATATAACTATTATAATAAATGCTCAATTGTATCACGTATAATTGAATTTAAAAAATAATTATTTGGTGTGGGTGCCAATTTTGAATGATTCTATTTTCACGGAGCAATGCTACAGCGACCTTATTTAGAGACTTAATTTGGGGACTTAATGATGTGATTTCGATGCAACCATTTGATTAGTTGTGAGTTTCAATGTTAAATGAAACTCACAATCAATTCAATGGTTGTATTGAATTAGGTCCCTAAATTAGATCCTCAAATTATGTTTAAATACCATTTTCCTTTTTCACGGGAATGATTATATATAGGCCACTTGACTAACTAATAGTCATGAAATAATATTTATTCATTTTTTAAATATTTGCATCTTATTAGTCATCACGTGATACTTATGTAACATATGATATTATTAACTTAAGATCGAATCAACTTATTTTTTTGTTAATCAAGTTGATGTTTCAACTCCCTAGGGATTTATCATATAAATCTAATGATAGATGGGAAATTTAAGATTTGTATTTTCTCCGACAAATATATATATATTTACTTTACCCTGAGATGAATTATCATACATTAAAATGTGACCCACATAACTAATACGGTTCTAGATCAAAAAATTTATTTCCTCCCACAAGAGAATGGGGTTACATCCCATTGAGATGCTAGGAATTTTAATTACACCTAACGCAACGACTGTAACACATAAATTCGAAAGTTGTTAATGTTTAAAGTCAACTCAATATTAATATTTGAGTCAAATTAAACTCCAAAAATCAAAGTTTCTAGGGAAAATTTTAACGACACCCTCTCTAGTTTTTGAATCTTCAATAACACCCCTTCTAGTTTAATTTAAACATCACTAACACCCCCTACCATTAAACTACTATTTTTAACCAAAAAAAAATCATCTAAAATACCCCTACATAACTTCAAGTAATTTTTTTACATAAATTTTATTAAAATTCGAGCTGTTAAAATTTTAAAAAAAATCATAAATAACAATTTTAGTAAATAATTTGTTATTTACTAATTCCTAAATTTAAAAAAAAAATCGAGCCTATTAAATTTATTTTTTTTACATATTAAAATTTGAGCCGATTTGAACTCTACCCGAGTTGTTAGTACCGATTAAAATTAGCTTTCGCATCGATTAAAATTTATATTTTTTTACTTATTAAAATTCATGTCAATTAAAATTAGATTTATTAAAATTTAAGTCAATTAAAATTCATATATTTTTATATATTAAAATTTGGGCTGATTAAAATTCAATGGGAATTAATTAAAATTTGATTTGAGTCGATTATAAATAATTTTTGATTGACTCAAACAAAATTTTAATTAGCCCAAATTTTAATACGTAGAAAAAATATAATTTTTAATTGACACAAAATTTAATATGTAAAAAAATAAATTTTAATTAACTTGAATCGAATTTTAATCGGTTTGAATTTAATTACGTAAAAAAATTAGAAAACAGAGGGGGTCTCATTGAAAATATACTTATCTAAAAGGGATCTCATTGAAAATATGTCTATCTAAAAAGGGTGTGGATGAAGTTTGTCCTTAAATATATCATAGGCAATTTAGTAAAATTACATTCTACTTAATATTTTTAATCTGACAGGGGTGTCGTTGAATATTCAAAAATTAGAGGGAGTGCCTTTAAAGATATAATAAACTTGAAGAAGTGTGGTTAAAATTTTCCCAAGTTTCTATTACAAACAATTGAAATTGACCTAGGAGACCTTCGTTATTACTATACAAACAATTCCACACGATCTCCACAACTATAACTACACCTGGGGTGAGTTATAAACTTGGCATCTTGAATAGTAATTTCATAATTATGTTATAAAAATTTTCGATAATAAATGTGGATGCCCTATTAAATCAAATATATCAATTTTTTAGCAAAATTTGTTAATTTTTTTTTTTTGATCAATGCAAACAAAGAAATTGTTTCATTTAGTAAAAAAATTGAGGTTATAATCAGGAAAAAGTAAAGTCGGAAGTTCAGGGGAGCCTAACCAAATCAACGAGAGTGAATTGTTTAACATTGTGGTTACGACCTAGTGAGTTGCCTTAGTGAAGACTCTAGACTTGTATAAGAAGCTAAAGATGTATAACCTAACTAAGTGTCTAATATCTTCAATAATAACACTAATTTTTCATTGAAAACGTCTTCATTCAAATTCTCCAACTAAAATTTACAACAAAACTGTCCAGAAATTTTTTTGTTTAATAGTTAACGGTGTTTTAATCAATTTATATTTATTTTGATTAATTTTCGCTCTAGTTCGATTAAAAGTAGATTATTCGCGTTAAAATTAAAATATTCATAAAAAATATTTTTTTTGTGATTTAATCTCAAAAAATTAATAAAATTTAAATTTAAAATTCGTTACTATTAAACTTTGAACTACGGATTTTAGCCGTCCAAAAATCTCCGGTATATACTTTTCCGTGTGATGTGCGTTTCTCTCTCTCCTCGTTAATTGACGAAGCTTCGTTGGGTCTTTCTTTTTTCCAAACGTGTCCCTCAAAACACCTCCTCTGTATTCTTTAAACCATCGGCGAAAGCCCCCCCAACCGCGTAAGCCCCACACAGAGAGAGTCCAAAGTCACCGTCAAACCTCTCCTCTTCTTCGTCTCCTAAATCGCGCGTTCACACCTCTGCACACGCTTCCTTCCTTAACCCACCCACCTTCCATATCTAGTATCCGTGTCCCTCTATATATATATAGAACACCATCAACGTATTTTTCAACTTCAAACTCTTGTGTGTTCACATTTTTGTTCAAACACTCAATTCGTCGAACACTTTCTGACCCATTTGCTATTTCCACACCTATATTTGAATGGAATTCAGTTCTTTCTCTTTCTATAACCCAGAAGACTACTCCAATACTTTGAGTTTCTTTCAAGATTTTTCATTTGACACCAATAACTCCGTGATTACTAGCAGTAAAAAGCGACCCAGAAAGGATTATAGCGAAGACGAAGCGTTGAAGAAGACTGCATTCAAGGACGTACTCAGCACGTTATTGACATTGGAAGACGAAGATAAATCAAACCAAGAAAAGTTGTCCCTTGAATCTGAACAACACAATTGCCTCCTCGATTCCATTTTCAAGCACAAAGCTCAAGCCATGAATGACTACTTCGTGCAATTCCAAGATAATAGTACTGGTGATTTGTACGAATCAGATATGCGGGCCAAGCGGCCTCGCCGCGAATCTCCCGGGGTTACTACCAAAATCGTTTCTGATAAGTCAACGTCAGATGATTCGAATCAATTTGCCAGCGGCGCTGGTGGTGATGGTAATGGTAATGGTAAGCTCGGTGGCTCACAGCGGCGGTTGTGGGTAAAGGACCGATCTAAAGCATGGTGGGAACAATGCAACAGTCCTGATTTTCCTGAAGAAGAGTTTCAGCGAGCTTTTCGGATGAGTAAGGCCACATTCGACTTGATCTGCGACGAGCTTGACTCTGCTGTGAACAAGAAAGACACAATGCTTCGTTTGGCAATCCCGGTTCGCCAACGTGTTGCAGTGTGTATTTGGAGATTGGCTACCGGTGAGCCTCTCCGGTTGGTATCCAAGCGTTTTGGGTTGGGAATTTCGACTTGTCATAAGCTTGTTCTTGAGGTGTGCTCGGCCATAAGGAGTGTGCTAATGCCTAAGTTCTTACAGTGGCCTGAGGATAGTGAAATGAAGAAGGTTAAGGAAGAGTTTGATTTGGTTTCTGGAATACCCAATGTTGGTGGTTCAATGTACACTACACACATTCCAATTATAGCTCCAAAGATTAGTGTTGCCGCTTATTTTAATAAGAGGCATACGGAGAGGAATCAGAAGACTTCATATTCGATTACAGTCCAAGGGTTGTTGATCCTAAGGGGGTGTTCACAGATGTCTGCATTGGTTGGCCTGGTTCAATGTCTGATGACAAGGTTTTGGAGAAGTCTGCACTTTATCAGAGGGGTAACATGGGGATTTTGAAGGATGTTTGGATTGTTGGAAATTCTGGGTACCCTTTGATGGACTGGGTTTTGGTTCCGTATACTCACCAAAATTTGACTTGGACTCAACATGCATTCAATGAGAAAATTGAGGATGTTCAGAGGGTCGCTAAGGAGGC